TTAACCTTGATGACAAAGAAGTGATTAATAAAGACGGCAACTAAAATGACGATAGACCTGCCAAAATTTTCTAAAACTAGTAAGAGGAATAAAGGGCCCACCGAGAACAGGAATGAGCTATATTAGGCAAAAGATAGAAAACTTATGTCGACATGATTGAAAAATGGTGCCTGCCGGTATAAACACCTGTTCGCCCCGCCAGGAAGAGAGGCACCGAAATCTAGGTTACGATCCATTTTCAAGATAGGCACCGCGTCGCTCCGCTCCTCAAAACCACTCCGAAATCCCCGTTCTTGCATGTATGTGTTAACGAAAGCCCTATCCGGCATGAATAAATACAGTTTGAGTTAGTATTCCATGTATCTTTCCCGGTCTATTCATAATGCCTTTCAAATTGCTGCTTTTTAAAGCACACACTAGCTTTATTGTGTGTTGTCAATCAATACTGATATTACATACTTTATACTAGTACATGAGAAATTTCTGCAATCTGATTAGCTTAGAGCAGTGATATTTCAGCTTAATTTGAAATACCTACATGTGAAAATTACAAACCTCTTGCGGGTAGTAGTATAAACAAATAATAGCATGATCCGTACGTGATATTTGGCATAAATACCACTCGTGATATTTAAAAATTGTCTCAAATTTCACTCGCCTAACGGCTCGTGAAATTACGTATAACAATTCTGAAATATCACTTGTGGTATTTATGAAATATCACTACAAATCATGCTATTACCTATACTAACCTTTCATAAATGTTAGCGAATGTGTTTCATCTAGGGATTCAGTTTTGCAGGCGTTAAATAAATTGGGACACTTCATGCTGGAACGGTTACCCAGAAATTTGATTTAATTGCAAACTAGTACTATACGATTGTAGGCGGAAAAGTTCCCGGATTCTTTGACAGATTGAACAGTAATCAGACACTGATATTCTTTTTGGATTTCAGACTATTGAGAGAGGCGTGAGCAAATTGCGGATATTTACTCATGTGCTTGCAGTAAACGACAAAACGAATCGGATACCATAATTATCCGGATTTCTCAAGAATCCAGAGATGTCTCCTCCAGTGTAAACCGGGGCACTAACCATTTAAGTGGGAAAGACGAAAATTCTGGATAGAAATTATCAAATGATTCGTGCGGTTCCGTTATTGAAGCTTCAGAAAATATGGGTTGTGTCTTGAGGTGATGCAATTTTTTTCCCTTTTTTTGGTTTGCGACGCCGATTGTTCTCCCACTACTTCATATTTTATAGTTTTGTGTTTATGCATAAGATTTCCACCTAGTTGGTTTGTGCAAAATACTAAATGGTAAGCACCTCTACAGTATTGTGTTCTGTAAAATAAATTAATGAAGACGTGCAATGCCCATACAGCAATGTTTTAGGCCAATCGACGGGATATTCAGGCCAATGTATTCAAGAAAAGTAACAATCAATACAGCTCTGCTTCTTTTTTGGAGAATGCTTGGTGAAGTAAGAGGAACTTGCTTTGATGGCGAATACTCCATAAAGAACATGATGTTGCGTCAACACATCTTCAAAGAAGTGAAGACATTAAACTCTCTTGAGTGCTTAATGCTATGTAAAGAAGATGTCAGATGTCAAAGCTTTAATTATGTCATTAACTAGGATATATGTGAACTAAACAACCGTACGAAGGAAGCTGCACCCAAGAATTTTGTGCAGAACTTCAAAAGATATTACGTGGGGTTAGTCACGAATAGAGGTAAGTCAGATTAAGTACAAGCAGAAACTCATAAGGGGTTGAACAACGCCTTATGAGTTTCTGCTACAAATAACAGCGATGACAGCAATATTAGAGAGCTTTAGCATCGACGACGGCTACGGCAGCGAAAATGTCACTTTAAAAATGAATTCGCGTTTTTTCAAACGTTTCCGCGTTTATTCCAGTTTGTTTGAAATGTCAAAAGTGGACGAATTTCCCTGGAGTTGATTGCTTGGGGACCGCACCGAAGTTTAGAAAGAGAAAGAAAAATTCGTCGTCGCTTGTTTATGTCTTCCACAAAACGTGAAATTATGCATTTTCACGTCGTAGTCGTGCGGAGAAGGCAATGAAATGTACAAAAAAGTGTGATGCACGTGCAAATGTGTTGTTTTGCTTAACAAGCCTGTTAAGCTCCCTATTCAGCTTTCGTAACAGGACGGCAGAAAGGAGAGGGCTAAATTTACAGCAAAACGTTTGTGTACGACAAACGTGACAGAGCTATAGTGATCAGAGTACTCACGGTGATTTCAACTATTGCTATTAATGGTCAACCAGGGGCGTATTGGTTTTTGTAAGAAAAGATTCTTTTATTTTATACGTTCACTTGTAAATAGCAATGTCACTTATTACCTGCGTGTTTTGTCGTTATCTTATTATTAATGTATTCTGGTCGTTTACAAAAAGATCTTCTTAGCTTGAGTTGGGCTGAACATGTTTTGAAACGTAGTTATTGTTGTTAAATTCTGTATTTTAATGCTTAATCGCCACGATGCTAACGGATTTCAACAAAAACCGAATATACATCCAACCCGGTTCATGCCACTGAAAAGGGTAAAGGATCTGGCGTGATAAGCCACTTGGGGCGTATGCAAACTTTACCTTACCTTGCAACCTTAAAAGGAAGTAATTGATAACTTCCAAAGCTTATTGGCAAAAACAATAACAATAGTATATAATAAAAAAACCCTTGAACAAAACAATCTGGGCGTGGTTCAAATCAAATGGTTTTTTGACCCCCACAGGAACCACCCCAAAACAGACAACTAAATAATTATACCAATATAATTGTCATTTAATTGTTTCTTCTTCTTCGTCTATTACTTCCTTTCCCCATTTTTTGTCTGCAACATTTCTTCACACACAGCCATAAAAAAATAAGCGATCTGAGTTTGTTCATTAGTTCCCCTAGGTTCTATTCCCGAGTTACCCGCCGAGTCTTGCAGAGAGATCAAGGCAAGTGAAGGAGAGCAAGCTGTCAGCGGCAAATACTGGTTTGATTCCATTAGACTCTTGAAGACTATTCTTGCTCACTGTGACATGGGCACAGAAGGTAGCAATAAGAATAAATTAAAGTTATATATGTGAATTACACCGCGTCGGCGTTTTACGTTCTTAGACATTTTGAACTTCAGCCTCGAAGGGAACGTCAACATTGGCAGGCATGCGTTCTCTTGTCCGGAAAGGGTTAAAATCTAAAATCTTTGGCAGACAAGATAAAGGTGGAGGAGGATTCAATTCAATTCTTTATTCACACTATACAAGATATTTACATAATGTGAATAAAGAATTGAATTGAATTGAATTGAATTGAATCCTCCTCCACCTTTATCTTGTTTGCCAAAGATTTTAGATTTTAGGAAATAAAAGCAAAGTGGTTTGGGGGAGGGGGGGCGGCTTTACTGAAGAGAATGTGACTTTAAAAATGTTTATAGACAGTCAAGTGCTAAGATCCTACTGGAGATGCAAAAGGGCACTAATACAACTAAAGTAATTGGAAGCTATTCTGCTTTTAGCATCGATTTTAATTTTATGACACCTTGGCTGAGTTTACGTTTTACTCGGTTTGAAAAATAATTTTCCATAAATTTTCTGATAGAAATTTGCAGTTTACTAGTTTTCTTACTTGTCCAGATATTAACGAATGCACTGCGGCAGACCAGTTGTGTGACACCAATGCAAACTGCATCAATACCCAGGGTTCTTTTTATTGCTCTTGTGCAACTGGTTTTACTGGAGACGGCGAGCACTGCAAGGGTAAGAACAAGCAATAATCAGTCTATAGGGGAGGTCTTTTCATGCATGGATATACTGCATATGAACTGTATGCAAGTGTACTGTATATTTACTACATATGTATACAGCTTGCGTTTTAGGCGATCTCAACAACACAGGCTACGCCTATATTTGTGGGCCAACCTCTATTTTTTTTTACCCGCCCCAACTCAGTGTCAGTTTCAACGTCCAAGTTGGCGGAAGAACATTAGTATCCTCGTTTGCACCCCCCCTACCCCCCGGGAGGGGGATCTTGCTAGGTATGTGCCGCTGGCCTCTCAGAGCCCCTACCCCATTAAAGTCTATTCTGTTGCAAACTATAGACCCCATTTTAGTCAGTTTTGAGCAAATGTAATTTTCAGGATCGCAATTTCTATTTGATATGTATCTACCTTATCAATCCTATAAATAGGCCATCTGTGTTTTTTCTCGCGGCTTTGCCGCTCGTGTCTTCGGCCTTCGACCGACGAAGTTCCTCGTCGCACGAGAGAAAAAAACCTCTGGTACACAGGGTAAAAATGAACTGACCCATTTTTTTAATGAAGAACACTTTACTTTTCACCTAAAGTATAAACATTATTGTGCGTTTGCTAACCGTAAATATGAAAACCTTTCTTACACCAAAAATCCGAAAATGTGCGACCCCATTCCAGTGACTCAATTGAAAGTGAGACCCCATTATAGTCAATCAAGTCATAAAAATGCGACCCCATCGAGCGGCACATCCCCATTAGCCTCTTATATTGAAGACCCCCCCGGGGGTGCACTCTAAAATACGCCTGCTTTGCACTGCTAACAAAACAATCCTTTCTATTGTGTAAACTGATTTGCATTAAAAAGAGGCTGGAGATTATATAATGCTAGAAAGGAGACTAAGGCTGCGTGCAAACGGACGAAACAACTCCCAACATTGTTGCGCCAACAATGTTGGGAGTTGTTGCGTGCGTCTTGGCAGTGGTCTGCAAACAGCTAGATGCAACAACTCCCAGCAATGATGGGACCTGCAGTGCATCATGGGAAGGATACCACCCATAAGTCCTTGTAAACCATGCGTCATGAGCGTGCGTGGCCCCAACATTGTTGGAAGAGCTGTGCAAACGGATCCAACATTGTTGCGCTACGCTCCGCCTATCACGGAACAAAAGAAGTGTTGGGAGTTGTTGGCTGAAAAGTTTGACCGGTTTCAAACTTCGGACAACAACATCCAACAACATGCAACAGGGTGTGCAAACGGACGCAACATGTAACATCCAACAATGTTGGGAGTTGTTGGTCAATAATGTTGCGTCCGTCTGCACGCAGCCTAAGTGAATGCGAAGCACCTAGTTTTATGCTTTTGCTGTGTTATTAATTACATACAGACATTGACGAATGTGCCATTGGAAGCCATGGCTGTGTCACTGGTTCATCCATTTGTGTCAACACTATTGGATCGTTTAAGTGTTCTTGTAACTTTGGTTACGACTTAGTCTCTGAGACTTGCCTTCCAGGTACAATTTCGCTCTAAAGTGTTGTACATCACTTGATATCTGGTTATGAATTTGGACTCTTTCTTTTCGAGTTCTGAGCATCCAAACAACATTGCTAGTGAAATGGCATAGACAGGAGCTCATTGACCTAATTTTCAAAAAAGAAAAAATAAACGTATTAACCATTTCACTCGTAAAAAGTGGCCAAATAATTTTTTTCGTCTCAATCCAATTTTATTTCTTCAAAATCCAAAACTATAAACAGTAATATGTAAAAGGTCTGTTATTAGAGGATGTTAGCATCGACAACGAGTACGAGTTCTAGAACCAGATCGGCGATTTTGCGTACTGCATGCGCATCCGTTCTGCGCATCTCCATGTTTTCAAGTCGTCCTCTCAAGTTGCACTACGACGAGTTCTCACCAAAAACTCGAAGTGGGTAGAACGACTGGGAAAAGCTGGTTTTCAAGGGTAAATTCCGATCGTTTAATGCAGTTTCTTTTCGTTTCTACCCTCTCTTTATCATCTTGAACATTCCTTATATTGTTCTATATAAAATACTGCTTTTGAAGTCGAGGAAAAGCAACCGAACGCGATATTTCCTACACAGAGTAAATTTGCATTTACCCGGGAAATCTCTCCACAGGCCTCCCAGCTCACGAAATAACCCCGAAAATTGCCATTAATTGGTCGAAAATATCCCAACAGTCGAAGCGGAATCCCATAATTTTATTTTCTATAAACTCGAAGTCGGTGTCATCGCTAACATAGAAAGCTGAGAAAACGACTTCGAGTACGAGTACGGCTTGAAGTCGTTCTCGTACTCGTACTCGTTATTGATGCTAACATCCTCTAATATAAATGGTAGCACTTGTTCCAAGAGTAAATCAAGTGGAAAGTTATTAAAAAAAAGCCGATACCTGGAAGGAATCTGTGTTGTGTACCTATAGATTTATAGACAATCAAAGAAACTCGTCAAACAGTTATCTTCCAGCAAATCGCAACAAAATTTAATCGGTTAAATCTGTAAATGCAGTAATGGTGAGTTTGCAGTGATAAATTGCCGATTGTAAAAATTTCCCACAGAAAAACGCATAGACTGCTCACAGTCCCCTATTTTTGGTAAGATCGGCCGGCGGTCATTTTGGTTCAATATGTAAAAAAATAAAAATTTACCGAGGGGCGGGACATATATAAGATGGGCGCCCGTAAAGCAAAATCTTCGATCTTGGCGATCTTGCTGAAAAAAAGTGAATAGTCTAAAAATCGCACGATAAAATAGCGCTGAAAACCACGTGCATATAATGACCTTGATAGAGATGCTTTTCTTTTTCTTCAGTATTTTACGCCACATTTAACTGTGACAATGCAATGGAACTGTTTGCTGATGATACAAGTCTAGGAAACGACAATAGTAACTGGAGGGCTTCCTTTACCTACACTATAATAGGAAACCCTCGAGTTATTTCCGTGGTAGGAGCGGACTTTGGAGGAGGATTTGGAATACTTGGCTCCACTACCAATGGTCTGTTAACCAATGAAAGCTGGAAGTGCACCGGTGTTCTGTATCCCGGATGGAATTCCCCGGATTTTGATGATCAGAATTGGCCTTCCGCAAGAGTGTTTGGAGTTAATTCAGCTGATTCTCCGTGGAGAATGATGATAAGTGGTATTGAGGCGACAGCAAAGTGGATATGGGCTGCTGATCAGGATAATGGTGTTGTTTATTGTAGATTGAATCTACAGTAGATAAGGTCGGTTGGTTGGATCAACTGCTTCTCAAACTCGTTAATTATTCATGTAGTCAAAAGCCAGTAAATAACGACCAGTTGGGTTAGGTGGATGAATCTTGATACCTAATAAAACACCACATGATTTTCATCTGAGATCAAAGACCTGCATCATAAATTTTTTTGTTTCATTTGAAAAAAACGTCAGAAAAAACTCAGGTGACACGTGCTTCATAAGGGGTTCCAAACACCGAGAAAACAGATGAAAGCTTTCGACCCTACTTGGCGTTCTATAATGTTGATGAAACACTTAATCATTTTCAAGTTTGACCGTGTGTTCGTCAGAGGAAGGTCTCAACTGTGACCAATAAGTGCCGTAAACGTTTCCAACCTACCTTAAACATGAGCAAGAGAACGACATCTTTGTGGTTTAAATGAAGGTCTCCAACGCGAGCATCGAACTCGAGCTCTGATTATTGCCCTCAACACCCCCTCCCCACTCCTCCCCTGTAACTAACCTTCTAAAAGAAACCTTTTTAATATGGGTCTCAGCGGGTGAGGTTGAAGCATTTGCGGTTGACAGTTTTCTAAAGAAGAAAAATCGATTGTTTTAAAGACGTTCAAGTGTTTCCATCGGCTTAAACCACTCAAGACCTTTCCGGAAGCCACGAGCTCGACAAGACATGGTCGTAACAAGCAATACCGACTTAATATACGGCTACTGAGATCCCCCACCCTCACCCTCCCTTTAATCTTTTGGCTGTTTTACGGCTGACGGGTGGCCCATTTGTTACCCTCCTATCATAACTTACGTAGAAGGACGGGGGGGGGGAAACAAGACGGGAAACTTTGGGGCACAAGCGTAATAATTAATTTAAAACAAAAAAACAAAACAAAACACATTCCGCCAAACTTATTCTTCCTTTAAAAAAGATCTTTTAGAAAAAAAAAAAAAAACATAACACAGTATTGGTTAGTATTGTTGGGTGAAGATCACGACAAAACTGGCGAGTTATAGCCCTGTCACGTTTGTCAAACACAAACGTTTTTCCGTCTTCTTGTTGCGTAAGCTCACTTTTGACGGGGAATGCTCGTCAAAAAGCAAAACAAATAAATAAATATATTAAGCATTTCTAAGGATACTAGGATGTCGTATTACAGTGGCTCAAATACATTTCCATCCCTAAAGCCTGGTTTCCATATGGCCCTTATGGAAACGCTACCCGAACGACAGCAAACGATCCGGGCGACTGAGACGACCTTGCTGGCTTGGATAGAGTTGAGTTCTATCAGGACGATCGGGACGATCGTCAAAATTTTGAAGCGATCATATGGAAGCGCTCTCAGACGACGGAGACGATCGGGACAATCGAAGGAAGGCTATCCCAGAAATCACCACTTTTATTCCAGTAATCGAGAATAAATTCGGGCTGGATGGCGCTCAAGTCGTCAAAATAATACAAAAATGTTCGCACCGCGTATGGCGCTATTCAAAATTGGAGGAAGTCTGTCAAGTTCTCGACGTGAACTCTTCTAGCTTCTCGACGCCACCAAATCGAGAGAAAAATTAGAGAGCAAGGCACGATGTTCGCACTCCGAATAAAAATCATCATTATGGTTGTCCTGTTTGCGAAACACGCGCAAAAATTATATTGTTTCACCTAGAGACATCGCTACGATTCCGAGTCACTTGCCTTTGAGGCGATCGAGACGATCATATATGGAAACTGCCAATCGTACCAGTCGTTTATATCTTCCCGAAATTTTTTGAAAAGACTGCGGCGATCCGGACGATCACATGGAAAACAGGCTTTAGATGTACTAAGTTTTATACGTCGTAAACGACAAATCAACGGGCAATTGTATCCGTTCTTGCTAGCATGTGTACAGCCACCCAGCCCTCCCCTCAGAAAAAAATCGACTTTTCCTGAGAGGAGGGGGTGGCTGTACACTACGAAAACCGAGGAGGGTTGTTCGCAATTCGACCTCCCACTTTCCACTACCGACTTCCGAAGACCCTTCTCGGCTTTAGTGGTACACAGGAGTATCAGTAAAACCCATCGACGAAAGTTGATCCTGCCATAATGTATAAAGAGCACCGTCAACTCTTGACAACAAAGCTCACCTCCAGATCAACTCAACTTCGTTATTCATTTATTTACTAATTTCCTGGGGGGAGGGGGGGCACACTCCCCTAATTGGCCTATACGGGTATGTTCCGCTTAACAGGGTATGGTTTTCACGGTCTTGAGTCTTAAACAGGGTATACAATTTCACTATTAAGCGTCTTAAACAGGGTTTCTTTTTGGACTGGAAGCCTTTCAAAGAGTGTGAAGACTTGCGATGAGTGGTCTACATTTGCAATACCAATATTTTTTTTCCTAAATATCTATTTCCACGATTTTAGTGTGACAAATTTCTTAATTCTGTGACCGGATCCTCATTCTGTATGCAAAAGAAAACAAATCAGGGTCACAAAGTAGTGTCTCCTGTGTTAAAATGGGTCGGGGTCTGAAGGCCTCGGTGCCACACCTCTACCCAGACTTCCTTTGGGTACCCCCCGGGACTTATTAAGTGAGTGTCAGCCTATCCTAACTTACATTCTTGCATGTGTCTTTCATTCTCTACATATCCATCCCTTTTTTAGTGGTTTTTAAGCTTTACGTTCCAGCCCCTGCGCTTTCGGCAAATTATTACTGAAAAAGGCTTAAGCGCATATTCGATACTACTTGTTCAACTTATTCAACTTTATTTATTCATTCAATACTGTGCAGCGACGACAAACCAATCTAACATCTCGTGGGGGAGGCAGGGGGGGAGGAACTCTCTTATATGGTCTATAGGGAGATGTGCCGCTGGACAGGGTGTGGCTTTTGACCTCTCTGTTCTAAACAGGGTATACAATTTCGCTCGCGTCTATCCTAATAAGGGTATATAATCTTGTGCAAGTGGGTCCTACTGATAAACAGGATGCTTGTTTTTTTTTGTACTCTAAGTATACAAAAGCATGGATTAGAACTTGAATTTGCTTTATTGCAATTACCAATAAACGACCTAAAAACAAGAAATCCTTTGCCCTAACCAGGGTAACAAAATTGACGGTATTGTCCTAACAGGGTATGTATTTTGGATTTTTTTGTCCTAAACAGGAATCGCCTCCTGACAGGGTCAGGGTTTCAAACCTTCAGCGACTCACCTATACCCAAATTTTGGTCGAGTACCCCGGATCTAACACAAAGCGAGGATCAACAAACCCCTTGGATAAAAGCAACATGATATACTGTGAAATTCTGCTCTCTATCAAATGACGATAACAGATTATAGTATTGAAGTCTTTTTGTCTTTTTCGCCCCCTCCATATTATTTGTCTTTTTTTTTGGCAGAAGATATAAAATACCCCCTAAGGACGTCTAGACGTATTGTGTGGCACGAAATCTTTGCGCGAACTAATTTTTGCGATTAAAACAGATTGGTCTTTCTTGCTGGCAATTAATTTTTGCGATTTTCAGAAAGTACCCAGCATTGATAATGTTTTCGTTTCTATTGAGTACGTGCAATAGAAATACCACATTTTCAAAGAATACTACGGTGTGCGTACCCTATGTAAAACCAGTATTTCAACAAGTCGTAATTGAACAGACACGATTTCTTAGTACTGTATTTTTGTGCAGCGAGTTAAAGTTAGACAACATTTACTCTGGAGTAAATTTTTGCGGGAAAATGTTTGCGGTAATTTTTATTTGCGGGAACTTATTTTTGCGGATCGCTGAAAAAAATCGCAAAAATTAGAACCCACAAAGATTTCGTGTCACACGGTATCAAGTATCAGCTCTCTTAAATGAAAAGCTAAAGACACTCGTTAAAGGATCGTTAAACTCCGGAACACTTCCAGTGCCTTTCTGGTGCATCTTTGCACAATCTGCAGTTATAAGAAAAAATATATATACTGCAACTTATGATGGATTGCTATTTTTTAGAAAGAGAGAGGTACGTGAAGGAAAAAAAAAAGGACAAAGTCACTCGTGCGGTGGGGTTCGTAGGGACAAACACGTCCCTGGATTCTGCGACGTGTTTTGGGTTCTGGGAAGTGTTTTTGGATTCTGGGAAGTGTTTCGGATTCTGGGAAGTGTTTTTGGATTCTCGCAAGTGTTTTGTCCTTATGAGCCACGGTACATTCACTATCTTGCTTCTTTCAAATCATTCCCCTTTTAAACGCGTCAAATTAAGTGGAGGAGATATTCAGAAAATGTGCTATTAGTGACAATATGACCCCAGAAGATGCAGGTTTAAAAATCACTGGTAAACAGGAAGTCTTCAGCCGGGGCGGGGGGGGGGGGTGGGTACTCAAAAAAGGTTTTATACTAGAATGCTTTACCCCGAGATCGATTATGTTTCAAGGGCTTTGTCATTTTCCCTGTTTTCAGTGTGACCTGAACAATCTTTCTTCTTAAAAATGAAATAGTCGTTCAACGATGTACGTGAATCCGCCGAGATTTTTTCTGTTGATTGTGGCCCATAAATTGTTCCAGCCATCTATTGTTTCACACCTCACGCCTACTAATCATTGATGTCTCGACTGATTAATCGTTTATATCAACCCACATTTCCGCCCCCACTTTCCAACCATTATACTTGTTGGTTTTTGGCCAAAATGCAGCTGCAAATGAACAAAGGTGTGTACCAGGTTCTGCTCTCCGTGAATCGTGCGATTTACACCCACGACTCTAATCCAATGATCGGCCTTTAGGGCCAATTCAGGGTCAATTGAAAATCACGGATGATAATGACGGAGATGCTCATCGTCTCGCTAAAAGGTGAAAATTGAAGATTTTGGTCATCTGCACGAAGAGCCAAGATATTGCCTACTCACTTAGGAGTGTTCTAGACGGAAAGTCAATATGTTTTATCAATTAAGATTTCGGCTAGGGTTGAGCGGCGGAAAGACAACTAGCCTGTCAGCAATCTGAAGCTTTCGCTGAGCTCTCTTGCGGTCCTCTCGCTCTCGCAGGCTGAACAAATACCTAAATAAAAATAGCAAATGTCGTTACTCTGCGTTCCTTCCCCGTTCGTGTTAAAAGTTCAATCAGAAATTTTTGGATTTCAATCGTTCTCGACCCGGTTCAGTTGTTGCAAGGAACTTGAAAAGGCATCGTCGCTGATACCACTGATAACAACAACGGTTTGAAAAATGTACGTGAGGTGGGGGAAGAAAGGCGGATGTGCCAAGGCACATCCAAGTCAAAGTATCATTATCATTGATTTTGACACTATGATCCGGTTCTGGGATAAATTTTCAGGAAATTACATCACGTTACTGTGAGCATAAAAAGAGCCTAAAAACACAGAAAGTGTCGCAGAAGGCAAGAGTGAGGAGTTTGCGGCTTTCATTAATTGCCTTCAAGAACGCTTTGAACTATGGCGGATGTCGGCGAAAAAGAGTCGAAAGCTACCACGTGGGATAAATATACTATCGGGCACAAAGTTTTCCTGTGTTTCTGCATTTTGCTTGTTGTTTCGATTTTCTTAACGGTTGCCTTGCTGATAAGAATAGAGCTGAAGTTTCAACAAATTGATGCAGCTTTGCTGAATGAAGTTAAATCTTCAGACAACTCAAGACACGGTAGGTTGAATATTATCTGTAAAACTATTAGTTTTATTCGCAATAAATAATTTGATAAAATGCGCGCATGGATTTTATCATTAGCTGAGACTTATGAATAGGCTATTTGCGAGTTTCCCCGGGCCTCGATCTGTATCAAAGCGAGGTCTAAGTGCTCAGCCTCTTATATGGAAACTTCTCGTGCAAATAAAACTCATTTCCACAAGAAAGGTAGTCACCTGTCAGTTTCACGGGCAGGGGCGGCGAAGCGCAATTTCAACTTAGGGTGGGGGGGTGGGGGGGTGCTGCGCTTGAAAACTTGAAAACTTGAAAACGCGCGTCGGAAGGAAGTCCAGGGGCATCCTCCCCCAGAAAATTTTGAAATCTAGAGGCTTCAACATTCTCAATGAGATATTTTTCTAAAAACCTTAATCTGGATAAGGTATAAAATGATAGGTACTTCTAGTGTTAAGAGCATGTACCTTATACTTAAACAACACCATTTTTTTCTCTAGAAAAGTGGGGGGGGGAGAGGGGAGGGGGGAGACAGCCCCCAGCTCCCCCGGCTCCGCCGTCCCTTAATTGAGACAGCGTAGAGGCAGAAGCTAATGAGAATGCTCTTCAAAGTATTTCTAGACTTCATTTACTTTTAGATGAAATGCTGCGTCTTTCCAGGAGGAAACGTTGCTCAGAGATTTGCTCGGCAAATTTTTAACATTACTAGAGTGATGATTATTTGCTTGTTCAATAAACTGCGATCTTTGTTCTCTTTCGGTATTCCAGAAAGTTGTATCAGGAGACTAAATAGGCACCTGTTTGAATGCCTTTTTCAACAGACTGGCTTTATAGCTAAACGTCTAAGTACTCTTTCAAGTGACTGTTTGCAATGGATTCCCCAAATACAATCACCTGTTGCTCTTGATAATTATCTTAAAATGTTAAATTACAACTCACAAATTGCTCTTGAGAATTATCTTCAAAAAGGTTAAATTACAACTCACAGAAATGTTGAAGTTTGCTGTCCCTTTGTCGTGATCTTTCATCTTCTAATTTAAGTTGGTGCCGATTATTTCTTAGGTCCTTCTATCGAATTCAATTTTGATCGAGTGTCCTAAAACTCCTCAAGCGAAGAATCTTTACGATTACTGCACTGCACATAGTGCACATAGGTGCACATTCCAAACATGCCTAAATTGTTACATATTCCATACATATTTGTGCTAACGCTTTTGTCCTCTTTCATGTAAGTAGGAAAATAATGTATAGCTTTATAGGATTATTATGGCTGTTACGTACACGTCATAGGTTGAATTATGAAGTACCTCAACGAATTTTCTTCGCTCTCACACAGTGTCTACGTGCTTCGCAAAAGACACAAAAAGCGACTTACTTCGGGGAATTTTGCTATCTATGCCGTTCATGTATTAGGAAAAGTATTACAGTTTTATGAGCTCCTCATGCTTTTGTTGAAAATCTCGCTAACAGAAGCCTCCGTCCGCATGTTGGTGCCAAGCCAGGATGCGTGGGTATCAGCATGCCGTCCCCATACAAATCTCGAAATATTCCTCTGACCTGAATCTTGGGGACGGTCTTTGCATATTTACCTCCTTTCATTTATCATATTCTGCACTTTATCTATTGAACGGTTTTGATTTTGATTTTGATCTGTTTTGAATGGCTTGACACTGAAAACCAACATTTTTTTTTCGTTCAAACTACAGAAAAATCTCCTCACCGGGATCAGATTGTTCGTCGTAGTGTGACAGATGGCACTCAATCTGCCATTACGTTAAAGCAAGTTCGCGAAGAAATCAAATCTTTGTGCCAAGCTCCAGGAACAACATTTTGCCTAAAAGGAGGAAAAGGGGAAGTCGGAGTACCGGGAGTAGCCGGGAAGCGAGGACTCCCTGGAGCCCCAGGTGACAAGGGAGATATGGGCGATAAAGGAGAAACTGGGTTTCCCGGACCCTCTGGCTACCCTGGAATCAAAGGTGACGACGGACTAATAGGCGCAAAGGGAGGAGACGGGCAAAAAGGAGATGCAGGAGAGATTGGGGAAAAAGGATGTATTGGTGCTACTGGCTCTAAGGGGGATAAGGGAGCTGAGGGAGATGTTGGATGGCCGGGATCAGCAGGACCGAAAGGTAAAGTGTTAAACTCATATGACGAACACATTCAAACAGAACTACCCGTAACTTAGAAACTGACTCGCCCCCAGACGTCTCTCACTATGTCTACCTCGTGGCGGTGTGATGGGAAGGAGAAAAGCGAGGAAAAGAGAGACATCCTGTCTCTCTTCTCCCTTCCCATCACCTCCCGCTATCGCCGTGTGCGTTACGCGCAAAGACGACTAGGGACGAGGCAGACTTGGAAAAGTTGAATTTGAGAAGGAACATGTCAAAGACTTGTTTTTATTACTTAAAATTGAATGCAAGGGTGATCGGGCACTAAGGATGGGTATCCCAAATTTTCGGTAAAGGCAAAACTAACCTTTATCAGGGGCTAAATTTATAAGTTGTTTGTACATTGCTGACTCGGCGGTCATCGGGCAAGATTAAGCGAATGGCTAGGGTTCTGATTGACTACTCGAGCGGTGAAGATGAGCCTACCTTTACTAAAACTTGAAATATTTGATCTAATCTTATTTTTTGATTGTATGGTGTACTTTGTTATAAGGTCAATGATTACTATCAAGTTTGCCCTCATCATTTGCCTTTTTAAACACTTCACAATCGTTTAAACTAGTAATGTTAAATAACGAGTTTAACATGTTACTTACTCCGTTTTGAACACAACATTTGTCAATTCTGATTGTCTGTGAGATGTCCTTGCTCAGTGCAGTCAATCGGGTAGCGGCTCGGTCGAACTTGAGACACGCGTGCGCAAGGAGTCAAGACGCGGCTTCCAGTCCGGTCGTTCAGTTAAATCAGGGCGTTAGTTCGCTCGTTCGTTCGTTCGTTCGAACGACAATCTTGAGTGACTGCTCTCAGCATAACTTTCTGAAGCAAAACTAGTTTTTTCTTATGCAATTAGCTGATAACTATTAAGTCATTTTCACTTATTTACAAGTTTATTTATCTGTTTTATCCGTTGTCTTGTCCAGGAGAGAAGGGAGATTCAGGTGAAATGGGACCGGAGGGACCTCCTGGTGCAATGGGACCTAAAGGAGACATGGGGATAAAAGGAGAAACGTTTTGGGGAGCTAAAGGTGAAGTAGGTCCCCCAGGGGAAAGAGGAGAAAAAGGTAACCGTTGCTCTATAATCCTAAGGAACGGTAAAACGGGTAAAAAACATGCAACGTACTTCGCAAGCAAAACGAGTGCATGTCGAAGCATAGCGAATGTTGCAGTTTTTCCCAGCCTTGAATCAAACCTGTCTTGCATCAAACCAGGTTGTTGAAATTTGCCCACAATACTGACTTCTGATTACTTAAAATTACCCGGGAAGCATGTTATATATACGCGGGATTTGAACGTTGGAACGAGGGTGGTTAAAGGCGCACAAAAGAGAGATGACAGAGATATTGGAAAAGTTAACAAAGCTGTGTTGTGTAAAGATGAAAATTTTTATTATAACTCATCTTTGATTGACATCAGAGTTACCATGGCAACGTAACGGCGCCATTACGTCTTTTACTTGCTTTTGAATTTCTCGGTACCAGGAGTTTTTTCGAAAATTGCTTAAGGGAGCTTGTACCTCCCTTCGCTTTCCTCAATTATGGCAAAGCTTGAATGATTTCTATGACAGCGTTTTGGAAATATTTTGGAACGAATTTTTAAAGGCCTTAAAAACAGTGAGTAACCATGCAATTGTTTTATTTGTTCTTTTTTCCAGGAATAAAGGGACAGCCAGGTCAAAGGGGAGTGGCCGGGCCTTCTGGTGAAACGGGAGCTTATGGAGACCCGGGAATGAAAGGAGAAGTAGGTCCCCCAGGGGAAAGAGGAGAAAGAGGTAACTGTTGTTCTATAACCCTAAGGTACGGTAAAACGGGTGAAAAAACGTGCAACGTGTTTTGCAAGCAAAATGAGTGAATGTCGAAACATAGCGAATGTTGCACTTTTTACTACCCTTATTAAATCAAAACAGTCTTGCATCAAACCAGTTTGTTGAAATTGCCTCAATACTGACTTCTGATTAGTTAAAATTACACGAGAGGCATGCTATACATGGGATTTGAACGTTGGAACTTGGTAATTAAACGCGCACAAAAGAGAGAGATAATTCTTTCTTGACGCGCAACATCACTTTTCAGCTCCTTTTGCAGCAATTTTGTAAAACAAGTTGCACTATTTTGTTGCCCGTTTTACAGTAGCTTCAGTGACTCTGTCACCAGAACAGTTCAAAAATCAATATCGTACAAACCAATTATAGAATATGAATAGAAGTCAAGGTCTTGAGGAAACAAAATTCGGGCCGCCACTAAAACATTGCCAACTTTTATGTATTATACCAAAAGCCTAATTAAGTCCATTTATTTTGTGGTTGGATCGGGAACACATTGCAAAAGAAGCTTTCGAATTCTGTTAGCCAATCATTTAGGATCAGACTACAGATTAACATACTAAGAGTCCCAAAAGATTCGAGCGTGGGAACATTGCAAAATTTAACCTCGTTCATTACCGGCAGTTTTGGTCCTCTGAGACCTGGTCTGTGATTACCTCTTCCCTCTGTGGCTTCAATAGGATTTAGGCTACGACACTAAAAATCAGGGAGTGAATAGTAGCTACAGAAGTCTGTAAATTCAAAATAGGTCAAGTGATAATAAAGTGACAATAACATCATTTTCGGACTGCCGCAATCTTGGATCCGCCATCTTAAATGTCAAGGGGAAAAAGGTTTCAAATCGCCTCAACATTAAACTACGTAACGGTGCTGAAAAGATGTATGTCAAGCTGAGTAAGATGATGGAAAAATGATTAACACGGTAATTAGACAGCTAAACTTTGTTAAATTTAAACATTTAAGGTGTCTCGTCTGGATTTTTCTAGATAGATCTCAAGTTTGAGCGTTGACTACGTTACCATTAACAGAGATATCGCAAGTTAACACAGCTGTGTTGTATAATTAAAGATGAAATATTGTTATGATTTGATGTTTGATTGACATCAGAGTTACCATGGCAACGTAAAGACGCAATTACGTCTTTTACTTGTTTTTGAATTTCTCGGTACCAGGAGTTTTTTCGAAAATCGCTTAAGGAAGCTTGTACCTCCCTTCGCTGCCTCAATTGAGGCAAAGTTTGAACGACTTTTATGAGAGCGTTTTGGAAATATTTTGGAACGAAGTTTTAAGTGGCATAAAAACAGTGAGTAACCATTCAGTTGTTTTATTTGTTCTTTTGTCCAGGATTTAAGGGACAGCAAGGTCTGCCAGGTGAAATAGGAGCGGCGGGAGTTCCTGGTGAGAAGGGAATGAAAGGTGAAGTAGGTCCCCCAGGGGAAAGAGGAGAAAAAGGTAACCGTTGCTCTATAATCCTAAGGAACGGTAAAACGGGTAAAAAAACGTGCAACGTGTTTTGCAAGCAAAATACGATTGAATGTTGAAACATAGCGAATGTTGCTTTTTTTACCACCCTTGAATCAAAGCTGTCTTGCATCAAACCAGGTTGTTGAAATTTGCCTAAATACTGACTTTTGGTTAGTTAAAATTACGCGGGAGGCATGCTATACACGGGATTTGAACGTTGGAACGTGGGTGGTTAAACGCGCACAAGAAAGAGATAATTATCTCTTGACGCGCAACATCACTTTTCCACTCCTTTTGCAGCATTATGTTACAAAACAAGTTGCACTATTATGTTGCCCGTTTTACTGTAGCTTCAGTTACTCAGTCACCAAGAGAGTTCAAATCACAAAATCGTATAAACTGATAATAGAATATTTTAGAAAACAAGGTCTCGAGGAAACAAAATTCGGTGTGTCACTAAAACACTGGCAACGTTTATGTGTTATCCCAAAAGCCCAATTAAATCAAGTAATTTTGTGGTTGGACCTGGAACAAATTGCACAAGAAGCTTCCGAATTCTCTTGGTCAATCGTTTAGGATTAGACTATAGAACATTGGGAACATTGCAAAATTTACTATAATAACAATAATAATAATAATAATGTTTGCATGTGAAAATTCTCCCCCCCCCCCCACCTCTATCGTCAAAAACATAATGGTCCGTCCCTTAGGTTATGATGTGTCTTCGTTTGTCTTGGTCTCCTGTTGTTATTGCGAGCAACAAGGGGAGCCCGCAATCCTAATCTTTAGGTAGCTATTACCCATGCACCACACGTATTTAGCCAGCTTCGTTTGGACTTCCAATAAGAATGAATGGATTACATCAAAAGCAGTCAGATCACGCGCGTTTGGAACTTCTGCCACTAGGAATTTAATCACGCCGTTTGACCACGTATCACGTGAAACTTACGCATAGCACAGCGTTTGAGCAAAAACGTTGGAGCCTTCGATCGCTGTCGCTAGCTTACTCCGTACCCTTCAGTTACTATAGCTACAAGTCTAATCTACATTTACCTTTGCTTTATAGAAAGCGTTCGCGAGGAAATCAAAACCCAGTTGACGTCAACTGTTAAGGCTATGTGTCAAGCACCCGGAAGAGTTTGCGTCCCAGGTCTCCCTGGCGCTCCGGGACCCCAGGGAGAAAAAGGACAAAAAGGTTCTGACGGAATGGTGGGAGTCAAGGGAGAAGACGGCATTGATGGTGTGAGTGGTCCAACTGGTCCGAAAGGAGAACGCGGAGAGAAAGGAGAAGTTGGATCCAAAGGAGAACCCGGAGATAAAGGAAACTCCTGTCAGGGAACCCCATTGTTCAAGGGAGAGAAAGGTTTTTCTGAACTTTTTTCTCTGACCTTATGCTATGAGCAACATAATTACTATACTCGTTGTACATCATACACTTAATGTCAGATCCCGAGGGAAACAGTTAGTTTTGTTTTCCCGAGAGTCCTAATATTTCCCGAGACGAAGTCAAGGGAAACATCAGGACTCGAGGGAAAACAAAACTAACTGGTTTCCCGAGGGACCTGACATTAAATGTTTTGTTATATTTCTAGACTTTCACTTTAATAGCAACAAAAGAATAACCCGAGCGAACCAAAACAGTCGACTCTGTACTTATGACAACACAAATTTAATTCTCAAAACCACGGAATGAATGAGTTACGAAGTACTTTCCTTATATTATCTGCATCTTTTTCCTCCACTACAGTGCCGTAGCCAGACCAAACGGCCAACTGAGGCAGGCGGGAGTTGCTAGGGGCGTTCGGGGGCATGCCCCCCCGAGAAATTTTGAACTTTAGTCTCTCGGAAATGCGATTTGCAGCGTTTTCTGCGTTTTCAGTATTAATACGGCGAAAATTTTGGTTATATATATATATTTTTTAACTGTTATATTTTGGCCACGAAATCTTTTCTGAGAGGCTCCGATGATCGCTTATGTAAAATAAAAATGATCGGCGAAATTCGTCAAAATTTTACCGAGGCGAGTGCCTCGGTTGGCCTCATACTAGCTACGGCGCTGCACTACCTGCTGTTTCTCTTCTGGGATGACTTTAAAAATCGTTGCTTTTTAGCTTTAGGCTTCGTGTTTGCGTTGTTGTGTTCATTTACGAAAAAGAAAACTGGCAGTGTTTTTCCCGCCTTCTGTCACACCACTTTCCACCATGCTTTAATCACTTGCTGTAATGTATCCCGAGCGGGGTACATTCCTTAATGTATCACGATCAGGATACTCTGGTATTCTTCGGGAGACCGGGTCGAGGTGGTTGTCGAAGTGCATTGTGGGACTGTTTTAAGGAACAAATTTCCCTCCATGTTGAAAATCCGTCCCCCAAAACAGTCCCACAATGCACTTGACAACCAACTCGACCCGGTCCCCCGTGCAACCTCAAAGTGGCAAATATAAAAACGGTCGGATAACGATAACCACAACTGATTTAAGGAATCGCAGTTAAAAAATTCGGGTTATCTTTTTAATGTAGGAGCATATTCAAAAGTCCGACCGCGAAGAGAATGGTAAATGAATAAGTCAGAGGTTTTAGTTTCTTAAACCAACTGAATTTTAAAAACGAAAAGACACATTTCATTCGATTCGATCTCGTCTTGCTTATTTATTACAGTATTAGGTGATAAGTAGGTTGAGTATGGTATTTGCCTGAATGACGTCATTTTACCACCAAAAACCATTCAAATGGCAAATGCAAAAATCTTGCGATTGTTTAAAATATCTGATTTTGACCATATTCTTGATTTATGTAACATTATCTATTGTTATTTTCCTTATTGTTGTTTTCGTTTTGTTCAAACAGTGATTTTTACATTTCAGGTGAACCCGGCCGAAGAGGGAAAAGAGGCTCAAGAGGCTTTAGAGGCTATAAAGGAAGTAAAGGTAAAAGAACTTAATCGAACAATTCAATCAGGGTTAGTTCTCTCTCCTCCGCAGAGGCGCCCTCTGGTTATCTCTATAAAATAGCAATATATAATTGAAAAATTAAAAAGTGTGCGGGGAACGATGGGAAGAGGGGAAAGGCCTTCCCATCGTGCCCCGCTCGCGCTCTTCTTTTCACTCGCCCCAGGCTCCCCACAACACAAAGAGGCCTCTGCGGAGGAGAGAGGAGTTAGCTCAAGACCATGAGATGCCGGTTCTAGAGAGGAGAAGTCGTTACCTCACGTTGCTATGGTGGCAAAATTTCTGGATGACAACACACCAAAAACGTTACTTAAAAAGTAAATTTGCACTGTTTCAAACGTTATCGATCTTATTCTGTTCCATCTAATTTGACAAATGTTGGCGAACTTTCCTGGAATTGAATCCGAAAGGACCGTATCTAAGTTTAAGAAAAGAAGAAGTTTTTGTGCTGTGTTCCACTACTCCATAAAGCGGGCGCGTGAAGTTAGGAAGTTTCATGTCGCAGTCGCGCAACGACAGCTAAGAAATGTACCAAAAAGCATGATGCACGTGCAAAGTTGTTGTTTTGCTGATCTAAGCGTATTTTTTTTTTGCCGTTCTCGTTGCCGTCGCCGTCATCGTTGCGTAAGCTCCACATCATGTTGTGATCCAGAAACTTGGCTACCATGGTAACGTGACATCGCCCTTCTCCTCTCTATTATCCCCCATTATAAAGCCCATCAAACCTTAACCTATTTATATATAAAAGTAATATTCAGTTATATGTTTATTGAGGGTCAGAGTCACTGAGGTTATTGTTTGTCAGTGAATAAGTACCTGCTGACCGACTAGACGGGAAATTCAGATATGCGGTGCAAATTGTGGAAATTTTAGGTATCCGCTAGCGACTTAACTTAACAGGAACAATTTATCATTGATCTGTAATCCTGAGAAGTTATAGTGTCGTATTGAACCCGGCCAAGAGCGATGCAAACGGATTTTTCAAGGTTCTCTTACTCTCCCGACATCTTTTGATTTCGCGACATCCTGTCCAAAACTCAAAGTTTGGTGCATGCGCAGTAACGGGATAGTGTTCCTTTAAAATATTTCAAGCAACAACAATAATCTAGAGTCTGTTCAGCTATAGCTGTTGGCCAGCCCGCCAAACGAGCGCAAAGAGGCAAATCCAGTAGGAAAAGAGGCTTAGCGCAGGCGCGCTCACCAAAAAACAAACAAACAAAAACCATCTATGCTGGCTGTTTTATTATTTACTTATTTATTGCATAGTGTTCTATTTCAGTTGTATCTCGGTACGTGTGCGCGTACAATTTTATTTTGAGCGCGCGCATTATTTGTTTATTTATTTAATTGACGTGTACATTTAGTTCGTTTATTAACGTCTCAATTATACTTTGCGTTATTTTCCTCACTTATACATTGTCCGTGACTGTGCTCACACGGTGGGTGGCTCCTCCTAAAATGTTCTGCAATTGGTATAGGATTTAATGGAGCCGAAACCAATTGTGGAATTGCACGTATTTTAGGCATTCTACTGATGAACAGTTGCGACACGTAGGTATATAATTATATTTCTAGCAACTAAGATAATTTGCAGTCTGTCTACTTTGAATTATAGTTGGTTCATGCTTAGAGTGCGTATATTGAGTTGTGGATGCGCGCGTGAAGCTTGGAGAGCACGAGATAAACGTAAGGGTTACTCAAGGCGTATCCGAGAGCAATTCTTGCTTCTTTTAGTAATGTTGATGAAATTTAGACCAAACGCGGCATGGTCATTACTATTATCAAGTGGCAAGGCCACCCATGCAAATTTGCTTTGATATGAAGACCTCTAAAAAGCTCCTTTTTTGCAGGGGAACCAACAGGAATTAGAGACCCGAACTTAAAGGAAAGAGTTCAAGGTAATAACCGAAGGTTGGGAAAATTTGGATAACATGGGAGTATTATATTAAGGTTAATTTACTAATAATGCATTGAAATTTTTTCAGTTTTGAGGTGAAAAAATACTAACTTTCCTCATTTTCATATCAGTAATCTTTTGGCTATTTAGGCCTTGTGAGGCTCTCATGAGGGTTAATCTTGTAACGAACTCCGATCGTTGCCGTTGTGGTTCGTCAGTAAATTTCTTTCTCCGTAGGCTTTCTTTTCATTTTTGGATGCTCAGGTTGTTGAATGTTAAGCGATATTTTTTTAAAAAAAAAAACTTTACCTGTTTTTCTTCTTTTAATATTCGGTTCTTCTCGAAGAGGGTCTCTCCCTTTATACATATAAATTAGCATTAGGTAGGGGCTGTTTGCTATGAACATACGCAGACGCAGATAGGAGACTGAGATAGACGCATCAACTTCTTGATTGGCCTTTTTGTTAACTATGGGTGGACCACAATACTTAGCGTTAGGTTTCATCGTGATCAGAAATTTGTTGTTCTGAATGGTATTCTTGTCATGTCTTTTTACATTATGCATTTACATTGTATACTAGAAATACGTGTATCGCAGAACCTCGCGAGGCTCAGGGGTGAGCGGCCCATAAAAAGCTAGGAATGGGAGGGCAGAAGAGAAATAGAGTAAAAAAACTAAGCCAAAGAGGTGTGTTTAAAGTTTTACTCCATCCTGCCTTAGGCATCGATCTGATCAACCTGATGACGTCAACAGTAAAGTCCGTGTGTCGGAGTCCAGGAGGAGTTTGTGTAGCAGGACCTCCAGGACCTCCGGGTCCCCCTGGTCCGAAGGGAAGTCCCACTGCCGTATTTTCCAGGGGGATTATTGGCAAACCAGGACCGCCTGGACCAAAAGGAGAGCGAGGAGCACGAGGCGTGTCAATACGGGGTTATCCCGGGCCCCAAGGATCCAAGGGACAGAAAGGCTCACCAGGTTGGGGAATCAAGGGTGAACCGGGTCCCGAGGGATGGAAAGGACGGACAGGGCCACCAGGCTTGTCAATAAAAGGTGACATTGGACCCGAAGGACCAAAAGGACAAAAGGGTATGTTTTAATTGAGTTCTTTGTTTCATATTGAGTGGAATACTTGTCATTCAACTAAATCAGCCAAATGCACTTTCACGACAAACAAGCAGCATTTACCATTTATCGTAAGGCTAAGTTACCCAGCAAGATCAACTATTTCACCAATACGAAATAATACGCACTCCTGTTATATGGCAGAATCCGCGAGAGTGCAAGATGAAGCTTGAAGCAAATCCTTTGCTTTGTTTGGCCACCGGAGAAGGGGGCCTATCTTGCCCGCACCAGATGTCTCGCGTTGGTCCCGCAAGAAAGAACGAACGGTTCTCATTTTGGCCATATAATAAATCCTTTATAGATCAAGCTTGCTCGTTCAAGGTGGCTGGATACTGATCTCGTCCCGATCTGCGTTTAAACTGACCTTTACTTTCTTTTGGTCCATAATAGAAACGCGAAAAAAGAACTTCGCCTATATCCAGTTATCTTGACCTCACCCTTGGTCAATTTAATAACATATAATTTTCACCGAGTTGAGTGCTCACGAAGACTGCATTTGCACTAAACCCCCTGCTGTTCTACTAAGAAGAATAAAACGTAACTCGCTCAAAAAATTACAGTTTGTTAATTTTGGTGTAATGGTTTTTTAATCCCTCAGGAGAACCTGCAGGTTCATATGTCCAAGGAGATGGTTTAGATTAACAGACTCTCTTGGAAATACAGAGAAGCGCCTTTGTGGTCAACATCGCACAAATAATTAAAACCATCTTAACTTGATTTTTTACAAGTTTTAAGTCGTTGTTGTTGTTTTTGTTTGTTTGTTTTACATGGCGGTAACGTTGATTTATATACTAATAAAATCTGCTCAAAGACTCTCCTGACAGGGAAACTCTTGGTTATTCTGTGAGGTTTTCATATTAGCCGTTTTCTTGGTTTACCCCCTAAGAAAGATAACCGCCGGGTTACTTTGAATTTTCGGAAGCTTCACTGGGTGCTGCTAATGTAGGAACGTTAAAAGAACTTGCTTCGTTGTTGTTGTTGTTGGTGGTGATTTTGTTTGTTTCTTCGTGTTTTCAATTAAATTGCACCTCTATTTTACGTTTTTTTGAAATAGAATTCGATAATCAATAAGCAAAAAAAGTCGTCTTTCTATCTTCTCAAGTGTTTTGGGGTGCAAAAAAACCTTGCGGTAAATCACTTGCCTTTGGAGCGTGATCTAGCCGTACAGATGTGAACGTCAAACCGCAAACCTGACGGCAAGGCCCTAGTCACGTGACTTCTTGACGTCTGCGGTTCGCTAGAAATGCCAAAACACCTCAATCATAAGGTCTCTAATGAAACACCAACCTTACCTCAGGGCCGTGGGGTAATCTCGTACCTAGATCTCTTTTCGACGAAACTGGGTACCGAGGGGAAATCCTCCAGGAAGATTTGGGTGAGGGACTGTGCGGCAACACGAAACCGTGACAATTAAAATATTTCAAGAATATTTGGTCCAAGCTACTTTTCACCGAAAAAAGTTTATTAACACAAAGAAAAAGTGCGTGTTAAAAATCAGTCGAAAGCGTTTTTCACTTCAAGTCTTTATAACGACTTAAACTAGATAGATTGTTTAAACTTCCATGTCGACAGTTACAGGAGTCAAAGCAAACTTTTTTGAAGTCGAGTAAAAGTTCAGCAAGTAAAAAGAGTTTTAGATTCGAGTTTACCGCGAACCTCTAACCGCGGTTTGCGGTTACCCGTTTGCGGTTCGACGTTCAAACATAATTTTATTTAGATTGGCGGTGGATTAAAGAAGTGGATTCTGGTTTATTTTTCCATTTAGAAATAGAAGAAAAATCAATCAGTGAAAATAAAAGAAATTTAAGGTAACACTGGGTTATCTAGCAGCAAAGAGCTGTAAATTCTTACATTAGTTCTTCTTGCAATTTTGCTGCCGCCATTTTGAATCAGCAGCCATGAATGGCAGTTGTTTTCAAGATCCAATAGGATTGATCAAATTTAGCATTTCTCCCGAATTTGCGCCTCTGTTAATGGATACAGACTTGCTCCACAAGATTTTTGTATCATTACGTGGGATAAAACAAGAATTATACGCTAAAAGCTTTCAGGTAAATGGCATTCGTGAAAACCTATCTCCCCACATTGAAAACGCACGTCGTAAACCTCAAACGTGACGCGAAAGACTTGTCACGTGACCTCCAGCGGTTAGAGGTCCGCGGTAAACTCGGATGTAAAACTCTGTAATAAAGGCAGAAAGCTTGGAAAAACTATAAGGTTTAAAATGCACGAAGTCATTCTAGTAACAAAGGTAAAGTTAAGTTGGGAAGCCATAGGGTACTATCCATTCCAAGAAATGTTCTGAATTAAATGCCAAATACAAATAAACATATTAACATATAATACAAATAAACATATAAACTTAGTTTTCTGGAACTAGTGATCAAAAGAGATCAGTGATGGCTTTTTAAAACACGGTATGTATTATGTCTGAGAAACGCCGAGTCCCTGCGGATACTTTAACCCTGTTTTATAACCTGATAATTGTACCTGCACCTTGGAACGTATCTAAGTTTAGAAAAAGAAAATTTTTGTGTTGTGCTCACCTACTTGATAAAGCGGGCGAGTGAAATTAGGAAGTTTCATGTCGCAGTCGTGCAACAACAGCTAAGAAATGTACAAAAAAGCTTGATGCACGTGCAAAGTTGTTCTTTTGCCAATCTCAATTTTGTGATCCAGAAATTTTGCTACCATAGTAACGTGACGTCACAATTAGAACAAGAACGCTCTTAGTGGCGTCGAGTCTCGCTTGCTTGGAGCCAATGGGGCTAGGAGATAAGTTTTGTTGTCAAAGGCGCTGGTGCTGTTATGTTACTTTTTCGATTTGAATACAAAACGCTTTCATATGTCATAATGTAAATACTCAAAACGTACAAATTGCAAGGGGAGACAGGCCACACATCTTAGCTTCACACCGGTATGAAACGTTTGACCTTATATAACAGACAGTTGATTCAGTTCTCGCGAATTCCCGTTGAATTTGTTGTCCGTTTTATAAGATATCAAAATCGCGCGCAACTAATTAGATTTTCCATAGCTGCTTAGTATCTGCTTTTGATATCTCCGGTACAGTTGTTTACGTGATCTCAGAGTACAATTTTTAGAGCTGTACACAGCATGCATTTTGTCACAGTATCACTGGGATAAAGCGTTTCTATTTCTAGGAAAATTTTCTTTTTCTCGTCAAAACAATCACTGACTCAGTCAGACTCGGAGTAGTTCACTTAAATTTAGTGCTCAGTACAGCCAACGGGGTTATATTCTGTAAAATTTATCTACAGTCTGTGGTCCACAATAACATCACCACGATCTACGATTTATTTAAAATTTATTTTATTTCAATTTGTTTTAACCGATCCTCGATCTCTGATCCCCGATCCCCGATCCTCGATCCTAGTTTTCCAGTAAACCTCGAAGTTCTGCTCATTAAGATTGTTCTTTTTTCGAACACTGAAGTAATCACTTGTTCTAAAGTTATCCTCGCTTTCAAGTGATAGAATTCGTGGACCGACCCATTCAAGGAAAAGCTCGATATGGGATTTCTATTCTATGGACATGGATCGACATGAAAGGCTGCATGTAGAGTGCCTGATAGTCAAGTACAAGGCTACCCGTATAAACAAATCCGTGACACATACTTAGCTTCCTGTAGTAGCTGAAGGTTCAACCATTGATATCTCAGGTATTTGTAAAGTGCAACGCGACGTCACATCTTAACGACTACGAAAATCTATCAATTAAATACATACAACATCGTGAATCTATTTAACCGTAGGGTACCAGTAATTGCGACAATATTCTGAGAAACGTAACGCCTCAATACACCACAAAACAGGATTTCCCCTCTATAATGATCCTTATTGAGGTATTTACCTTATAATACGCGTGCATAATTACACGAAAATCAAGGGCCACGAGTTGGGGAAAATTACATCATTGCCAAACAGCAGAAAACGTGATCAACTTACATGCGTCATTTTAGTCATGGCTGAAAATAAACCGCATGCTCATCACGAGTCTTATTTGTATACAACGAAAGTCGTCACGATTCTTATCCCCAGTTTCCACGGTCTCAGCTAGGAACGCCTGGGACCATGGCCGACCATTTGGGGAAGACCGACGAAAAAAAAGAAAAAAATGCCTGTCTCGCTCTGCTAAAGTAAGCTCGACTAATTAGATACAAGAAGAATCGTCAACGTAGTATATTTACTGAAATGTTTTCAAAACAGCATTATTATCCCGTACAATGACTGATTATAATGGAGAGTCTAAATGGTCCAGTCCCCGAATAAACCATACACTGAAACGTAAGACTAAAAATAATATAAGTAAGAAAGTTTTCATTTGAAGGCCGAACGGGGTAAATTTCATAGCCTCTCTCGCAACCAGTCCCTCTCATGTCCTTGGCCTCCTTATGATTTATAGCATCCTTAGCCGTTATGACCGCTGCAAATTAGAAGAAGGGGAAAAACTTCACCCATGATATTTCATTGCCTGTCTATACAGGCCTTAACCGAACGCCAAACTTTTCATGAGACGAACCAAACTTAGTGAGTTAAGTTCATGAAAAATTCCACATCTGGCTCAGTTCAGTTTGTCTGAATGAGTTTTATCCGTCTCCTTCATCTACTTAAGGCGAACGTCTGAAGGTCGTCTCCGGGACAGACGTCGATCTCCACATGCGGCGAACAAGAGTAATATGATAAATTAATAATTTGTATGATAATATACATTTAGCTTCGTTCGGGAGATTCAGTTGATTGGTTCGTCGCTTCCTAACAGACGATCTTAGCTTAGGTTAGGTCGACCCAAATTAGAGTTTCTGGTTTGTCTCATAAAAAGTTCGACGTTTATTTTGGCCTAGGCCTTAGATCAAACCATCTTGGTCTACAACGGACTCAACAACACAATCACTGATTCAGTTTTATGGAAGCAAGTACTGGAATTGAAAAATAGATAAATAAAGAGATAACATTCAAATGGTTTCTTTGGCCACGGTTTGAGAGTGATTTGAGGAAAAAAACAATAACTTCGCAATGGCTTCGCAAAGTCGCAAATTTTACAGAAGTTTCTATGGTGGGGGACACCTGTCCAACTTTGGAGCGCTATGTTTTCGTTCACATTATACACCTTTCACTTTCAAACTTGGTTGCTAATGTTTACGAAAGTTAAGTCGCTCTTTTAAGACATTTTGAAGTTCTATTATCGCCAAATGATCCTCATCAAAACTTTAAACTCTATCGCCGGTTAATGGTACTAACGACTCTCGTTGTTGACAATGCGATGTTATTTTTGCTGTGTTTACTCACCATGTCTTTGGAGGGCAACACAAGATTACCTTAGGATCGGTATAGCTTTTCCTGCACCATTTTCCGAGACCACAACCCTTCAAATTTCTTTTTTGGGTGAGGACGGCAGCTCGGTTGCAACGAGGAAGGCAGAAACAAGGCAGATCAGCAGGAATGTAGACTTCATTTTTTTCTAAAGAAAACAAAGTGGTAAAAAATAATAATAGGTCATTTTACACTTGTTGGCTTAGTATCCTCGCCTTTGAGTGAACGTGAGGCTGTGGTTGACCTTGTTTTGATACAAACCTCTCTCCTTTTTTATGGAAATTATGCCCAAAAAATGCTAGTTAGCTTAAGAACAACATGTGTTAAATTATAAAGCAGGAAAGGTTGTATCAAAACAAGGTCAACTCTAGCCTCGTTTTCAACTGTAACTGTAAATGGCTCTTTCTGCTTAAGATCCGACGACGGCGACGGGAACGAGAACGGCATAAAAGCAATAGGTTTAGATTAGTAAAACAACAACTTTGCACGTGCAGCACTGGTGCTTTTTTGTCGACACTTCTTTGCCATCGCTACACGACTATAACGTGAAAGTGCCTAATTTCACGTTTTGTCGAGGACGGGAACACAAGACAACAACTTTCTTTTTTTTTTCCCTGAACTTTGATGCAGTCCTTTAGAATTCAAGTCCAAAAATATGCCAACATTTGACGGATTTAAACGATCGAGATAGAATAAGTGTCATAAAGTTTAAAGCAGCCAGCATTTACTTCTTAAGTGACGTTTTCGTAGCCGTCGCCGTCGTTGGATCTTAAGCTCCCTAAAATTGCGTGCGAACAGAGAAGCCTGCAATCCTAACTCCAGGATGTTATTAGTTGCTATTACGGATGCCAAAGCCAACATAAAAACAAACCGCTAAGTCCATAAAAAGTATTTAAAGGCCGATAAATCTGTCCCTTTTTATTTCCGTCCTTTTTTTTGTTGTTGTTTAGTGGGAAAGTCTGAAAAAGGATTTGAACAAATGTTTTTAAAGAACAGCGGTCCCGCACGCACATGCATGATTTAATGTTGTTGTCGGAAAGGAGGTTAGGCAATTATTTCGATTCATCATCTCTAGAGCTAGGGAAAGTGAAAGGTGTCAGTAGTAGATGAAACTCTCTTCAAGATTGAATAAGAAAAGGATAATGCAGAAAAGGATGCCAGCCTAATGGCAAGATGAAAATGGAGAGATGTAGTCAAACAAAACTTACGCTTGACGAAAACAACGAGCTGCTTTATGACACCCACTAACTATTATTATTATTATTATCATTATTATTATTATTATTATTATTTTAAAGAGGCCTACGAGAAGCGTCAAGCAGGGATTCAAAACTACAAATGAGCACAAGTTCTTTGCATATAATCTCTAACAAATAATTGTAGTAACTCTAATCTTGGTTGTTGACAAGAACGAAACAAGTTTCGTCAGACATTATTTAGTAACGTGAGCAATGGTAATTCTTTAACCAAAAAACTCTTAGTGTTCGTAAAAAAACGTATTCTAAAACGACTTCGGCAATTTCCATGGATATTTTAAGTGTTTCTAAACATGCTGCTAGAAATTTCCATGGCCTGTTCAGTTCTGATATAATGACATCGGAAGTCTCCATGGTCATTTTGCGATGCATAAGAATTGCAATGATAAATCGAAAATATTCTTGAGGGCATTTGACGTTGGAAATTTTCATGCCTATTTTGAGGGCCCTCTAAAGATGACGTTTGAAATTTCCATGGTCGTATTGCAAATCGCAAAAGTCCAAAGGCTTCCAGCATTTTTGTGCTCAATTTCTTAAACATTTTCGTGAGTAAAGAAAATTGCTTTAAAAAATTGCAATTTTTATCATTTATCATTTTATTTATGGTAATGAAATAGAATAACTTCCAAGTTCTTGCCACTAAGAGGGAAATGTTATTTTATAATTAAAAGTAGTTTTCACCCTAAGGCTCAAAGAACAAACCTGGTAATTGTGAAATAAAAACCTCAGCTTTTTGTAACACGTGTCATTTGACCAAAGAAAAAAATGTAAAAAAAACCGAATATTATGTATTTTGTTGACAGTCACACTGCTAACTGGGCGAAATTAGCCATTGATAACCTTACTTCAGCCTGATTTTCATGTTTTCTTAGCAACTTCAGCCCCCAGTTTAAGTCATCGGATTAATGTGCCATAATTCGCCCCTTTAGAATATCGCTTTTTTTCAGGCCTTTTTATATATCCTCAAGTCCTAGCACCATTTCAGAACACATCCATGGTTAACTTATATTAGAACTTCCCGGTAATAGCACTGCGGAACATTGCCTCATTATATATATATAGAGAGAGAGGAAAACATTTTTCCGTAAATCAAATGTCTAAACAGTCTAGCAAAGGCACAAAAATAACACAACTGCACAACTGGACTAAGCTGGACTAGATGGTACTCGTTCAATGTATAATTTAGAGATGACTGACTTAAATGAAAATATTAGTAGCTAAAACACACCAATAATTCTATCAAAATCAACTAAAATGAAGAAACTAAAATTTGTAATACTATCTTTTGGGGAAAGAAAAAAGAAATCTCTTAATTCGCTTGTCACCGATGAGATACCGAATACGGCTAGACTTAAGAGTAATCCCGCCGTTCAAGAACCAAGAGTCAACGAAAGTTGTCAAGCAAGGTATCAAGGGTCTTGGCTTTTAGGGGTTAAAAAAAGTAATTTGTCTTTGTGTTTATGTAATAAATATCGGCCAAAAATCAGCCGAAGAGCTAAAGGTGCGAGAAATCATGCCCGCTATAATATTGAAAACCTGCAGCAAAGTTAAGAACACGAAGTTCAATGTCACCTGTGTGATAAAGGTTGTATGTTGATTACTCTTGGTGCCACTTGTATCCACGCGTCGATGGTCACAAACAAAATAGCAGATCTATATGTTCTGCTTTAATTTGAGCTTATTTTGTCCTTAGCCTCCCAGCACGCAGCTCGTGCGGGAGGACACGCGACGAAGCCCTAAAGGTGATTTTGTTCTTAAGTTAAAAATCTTATGACCTCTATAAAAGGAATTGTTTATGCTCAAAAAAGCTCAGATTTCTAAAAGATAAATAGAATCTAAATTAACGCCTTTTAAGTAGAAACCGTTTATTGTCGAAAATTCATCTAACAAAGAAGAGCTTTCACTTTCATTTTTTTTGTTAAGGAAAGCTCAGAATTCAAAAACAATGTAAATTAAAAATTAAAGCAGATTCCTATTTAACGTACTTGATGCAGAAACCAATTATTGTAGAAAAGTCGTCCAGCGGCCGACCTTTCATTTTCATAGAGGGAAAATCGTAGGATGATTTTAATTTGATTACCAACAACTGTGATAACATTGGACAAGAACGTGTCCATACCTTGCTTACCTATAGAATATGTTATTATTATTATTATTATTATTATTACTATTATTATTATTATTATTAATGCAGTTAATGGACGGCTGTCAAATACCTTTCCGCTCGCGCAAGAGGTGCCGCAAGGGTCTCTCCTAGGCCCGCTTCTGTTCACAGAATATACCAGCGAACTATTAGAGATAGTGCGTCGACACTTGCCAAGCGTGACCTCTTACGCCGATGATACGCAATTGTACTTGGCGTTCAGTCCAAACGTGCAGGGTGATGACGCTAGTGCGGTAAAGGCCATGTGTGATTGCATCATGGATTTAAGGAAATGAATGATTAGAGACCGACTTAAGTTAAATGATGATAAGAATGAGTTTTTGCTCCTTGGTACCAGGCAACAGCGGGGTAAGGTTGACATAAGTAGTATTTTTGTTGGTGAGTCTGCTGTGAACACAAAGCCAGTTGTCAGGAATATGGGTTCCTGGTTTGATTCTCAACTTAGTATGTCTACTCATATTAGCAAGCTCTATAGCTCAGCTTTCTTTCATCTATATAACATCAGTCGTATTCGCAAGTTCCTAAGACCGTAGTCATGCATTCGTCACTTCTCGCGTTGACTACGGCAGTAGCCCTTTGTATGGCCTACCTGTCTGGGCGGACACTTTAACCTTGTTTAGGTTTAAAGGAAGAGTCCATGTTGTGATCTTTTCATCCATTGGCTGCTAAAACAAATGACGAACACGTACCGAAACCATTTTTCAAGGTCATACGAAAATCGATCCAACTGCTACTGTAAAAGTAAACGGTCATCAGAGAAAATATATTCTCAACCTGCACCTTAGGACACTGGAGTGATGGGTCATGCCCTACACAAGAATAATCGTCAGCGTAGTATATTTACTGAAATGTTTCAAAACAACATAGTTGTTTCAATGGCTGATCGAGTATAATGGAGATTGTAAATGGCCCAGTCCCCGAATAAAGGATACACTGAAACCGTACGTAAGACTAAAAATAATATAAGTAAGAAAGTTTTCATTTGAAGACCGAAGGGTAAATTTTATAGTCTCTCTTGCAACCAGTCCGTCTCGTGTCCTTGGCCGTATCCGTAGCCGTTATCACCGCTGCAAATTAGTGGAAGAAGAGAAACATCACCCATGATATTTCATTGCCTGTCTGCACAGGCCTTAACCAAACGTCAAACCTTTCATGAGACGAATGAAACTTAGTGAGTTAAGTTCATGAAAAATTCCACGTTGTTTTGTCTTGATATTGTTGACCAACTAGATGGATTTTACTAAAACAATTATTCCTCTCGCCCTTTTGGCCTCTGAGTCAATAGCCCATTCGGCCTTCGGCCTCATGGGCTATTGACTCGGAGCCCATTCGGGCTGGAGGAATAATAATGTTAATTATTTTATCCCACTCTATTTTATCCCCCTCGCGCTTGATTAACCAGTCAGAGATTTCATATCTTACAAGCTTCGTTATCTAGGTCCGTACTGTAAGTTAAGGACTCGTTTTCTCTCCTGCGCTTCTTCGCGCTTGGGCCATAAATCAACAGTAAACAGTTGGTGTTAAATTGCAGTACGGACCGAGATGAGGAGCTAGCCGGGTAACAGGTATCTAGCTCAATCAAAACTTCGAAAAAAATAATGGATATAAAATTTAAAGTATCGCTATTTTTTACTTTACCCTTGAGCGAGGCTGGGAAAGAAAATTAGCAACTCCCGCCGTATCCGCACGCATTATTAATTTTCGACAATGCGATTGATTATTTTTCAAGAATTTTCAAGGATCTACCAATAAAACGGTTGGTTGACCTGAACAGAATACTGACTCTTAAGTGTGATAAGTGGCGTATTCACCATCGAATACTGCGATTTATCTGTCTGCCTGTTTGCATACCTGTCTTTGTCTAAAACGACATACAATTTAACAACCTGCGATCTTCAAACGCCTTTATTCATGGTATCTTTAAGTGAAATACATCTTACCACGACCTTCTGTAGCGACTGTTTGCCTGAATTTGATGTTCTTTCCAAGGAGAGACGGGTCCCGTTATAACTACCATCATTTTGCCAATACCAACTCTTTGTTTTACATTTTGCCTTCCTCGTTTAACAATTCCAGGATGTACCGAATGGCCTTTTTTTCCTCTCACGACGAAATGTAATCACCCAACTTGAAAATGCGGTCTACCTATCTCTCCTCCGTTGTACTCCTTTGTTTCTTACTGATGCTGGCTTCGATGTCAAGTGCGTTCACGAACATGCTCTCGGTTTCACAGCATGGACCTCGGATTCTAATTGGTGAGTCAAATAAACTTGCAATTATTTTTACGCTTGGTTCAATTTGTATAAAAAAAATTGGTGAAACATTTCCTCTTTCCCATTGTAAAGTTAATTATTCACAAGTTGCACAAGAAAAAGCGCGTGGAGGAAGAAGACAACAACTCTAAAATAATTCAACTTGGCAGATGCACGTTTACCTTAGTTAACCTTTATTTGACTCTGTATCAGAGTCTTGTTTCACTGCGACATTACAATGAACAAGCTTCTACTTGTACGTTTTTGAAGCATTCTTGCGGCGATTGTGTACGGCGGAGAAGCTTCCAGACCGGCCGCATACAAGTGGCTATACAGAATTGACCGAAACGGAAAGCCATGCTTGAAAGTCTCTGACACCCAGGGTACGTCCTCTTAGGCTAACTTGAAAAACTGACAACTGCTGAAAATTGCTGAATATTTGTACGCTAATTATTGAATATCTATTATTTTCTCTAACGATGAATGATTCTAGTAAAACCTGCTTCCAGCGTTGCGAGGTCCTCTTGAAGTTTCAATTGGCTCTTTTTAATGCTTTTAGATAAATCCTACGGAGTTCCTATAAATCTGACTTGTAACGAACGCGAGACCAGTAAAATTGATGTCAGCGGTATCTCGCTCTTCAAGTCAAAAAGAGCGATTATAGCAAACCAAGTCTATCCTGGAATTTATGCGCAGTCTCAAAGCGAATGCCAGCGAACGTTTCATCCAGTGAACATGAACAAGCCAGCAGGATGTCAGCTGAATCTGTCAGGAAGAAAACTGTCATCGGATGTCATGATTGTTACAGTTTATCGATGCTTGACAACCTCTGACCTACAACGTCGGCTAAAGTTAGTTCACATAAGTAAGTGTCGGGGAGTTCCGAGGGTGCAATCAAATTAGAGGGGTTTAACCCTTTAAACCCTAAGATCAAAATTTGAATTCTCATTTGTTGCCCCTATTCATTTCTTACGGAGGTAGTGGGGAGAAGTTGATAAAATATCAAGCAAATTCATCTTGTGGGATCATGTCCGTAATTCTCATGGCCACTCTGTTTTCAAAGCATTGATGTTACAAGGAGAAATTTGATGCTGATCACTTTTAGGGCTTAAAGGGTTAAGAATCGACGACGGCGACGACAGCGAAAACGTTACTTCTAAAATGAATTCGCGTTTTTTTTTTTCAAACTTTGTCGTATTTATTCCAGCAATTCACTGAATATATTTAAAGTAGGCGAATTTCACCGGAGTTGATTTCTTGGGGACCGCACTCGAGTTTTGAAAGAGAGAAAATTTCTTCGTCGCTAGTTTGTTTCCGTCCTCCATTCCATAAAACATGAAATTAGGCAGTCTCACGTCGTAGTCGTGCAGTAACGTCATTGAAAGAAATGTGCAAAAACATGTGTGCTGCACGTGCAAAGTTGTGCTTTGACGTTCACGTTGCCGTCGTGGTCGTCGTTGCTAAAACTTCCTATTGTATACAGATGGCAGGATGAAGCTGTACTTGTAATCGATCACTCTCATGTGACCAGAAATTAAGCAAATGCCAGTGTATATCATCCTGCAGTCTTCTTCTTACACCCATTCCCTTTTGACTATACTTATAGGAATGTCAAATAGGGTCAACACAAGACCTATTCGACTTTGGCCACCCATCCTTAACAAATCTCACCACTACAAGATCCCATTTGATTTCTTCTTTTTTAAAGCCAGGTAACTGAATTTGAATTTGCTCCACAAGCTCACAACGAGATGGACCATTTACTCTTTTTCTCTCCCGCCATTCCATCCCTAGCATTTTATGGGCAACTCTCCCCCCAAGCTTCACGAGGTTCTGGGCAACAAGTATTTCTAATTTTTATAAATGGAAACGCGTAGAAAGAGAACTTCTTGGTTTGCGACCACGTGACGAGGCAGCTATGTTGTGGGTCAATAATAGAAAAAATCGGAAATAAGGAGTTTAGTACCCAGCGGAGAAAAATGCTCTTGTTCTTGACAACCAACATAGCCGCCGTGACGTCACGGGCAAACCAGCAATTCATAAATGCAGGATAAAGTCTTTGTCAAAGTGGAAAGCTACTGAAACCCACATTGTAGAAAGTAAAACGAGTCAATTGGCAGACCAAATTATCCCAATACGTCTATAAAAATATAACGTACTTTCGCATGGACTGATTATTAGGCCCTGTTTATACAGTGGAACCTCGATATAACCAACCTTTATATGGGTTTATATGAGAAAAAAAGTTGACCCATTTGCCCGAGCTAAGAGCTGATAACAGCTTTCAGAGCATTCGCGCATGAAGATTGTCTCGCTTTGACCGAGTTGACCAAACTGAGCGTGCCAAAGTGTTAATTATAAGGAGAAAACTTGGTCCGGCTAGGAGGGTGACCTTTGCCATCACAAAAAGGCGGGTGATCACTCTTCTAGTTGAGCCAACTTTTTGTTTCTCATGTAAACGGCAAAATGTTGCAAGAAAATGGCTCCTAAAAACTTTACTATTTTGAGCTCATAAGTAGTAGTTCAGTTGTGATATTTGATTTTGATCTTACAGGAGCCGCTGATACAGGTGACTTAACCTTAGCATGCCAGTTTGGTTTTATGATGGATGTTCTAGATATCAGGTTAAACGGTACTGAGTTAAATGATGGGGAAGCGGAAGCAATCAAACAGCAGTGCGCCATGAAAACAGTTCAAGGAGCAGTTGTGCCAACAAAACGAAACCAAGACCCCAAAATACCCGTGGTTTGCACTGTCGCGAGGCAGGGTAGAATTGGAAATCTCAAGGCTACGTACCAATGCTTACGTGCACCACAAAAAGCTTTCCGCGATCATGAAAGAACAAACGACTCACGCAAAGGACCAATGGGATCGAAGAAGAGGAGACAAGGACTCAATAAAAGTACTATACCGGGAAGTTCCCGAGAAGAAAAACCAACATAGAGGGATCGCAAACAAATTAATAATAAATAAATACACAGATGCGATTAAGAAGGTTCTTATCTCGTTTTACAGTCATTTTGCCTTTTTTCGTATCCCTTCCGCCCTTTCGTCAAAAAGGAAATTCATTTCTTTTGTTTGTTTGTTTTCATTTCCCTCGCTCTTGTTTAGTTTTCTCTTTTTATTTTCTCTACTGATATGGGCATAGTTAGTAGAGGAGAGTGGTTATCAATGGCGGCAAATTAATATCAAAGTTAACAATAACAGTGCTGCAGTTTAAATTGGGGGCTACCGAAGGGTGCACAGTTCATTGTTTTTTGTTCACAAATTGCGACGGAATAAATTTATCATGTGACATTTTAATTGGTAAGTAACATTAAAATCATAGGAATGCTATTGAACGTTGCGCACCTTCAAGTCCACAAAAACATACAGCAAATTAAAGTATTCTGAGAGGTTTCAAACCCTAATGAATTATCTATTCCACTCACTCTATTAACTATGGTTTGGGTTAGTTCTATTTGCTTATATCTCTGACAGGTTTCACGAAATAAGAAGCTATCGCTGATTTGTTAGTTGGTTTAATTTCTCAGTCAAAAACGCCAATACATATAACAACAAATGTGACGAAATTAAAATGCAACACATGTCCCAGAAAATAAGCCAATATACATGATCAAGATAGAATGTCTAAGTATGCCTATTTATTGTAAAGCTGAATCTTGACGAAATCTAGGTTTTAACATTTAACAGCAAAACATAGCCATCATGCGTGATCAAGAAAGAATTCTTATCGTGCCTATTGCTTCTTCGCGCTTGGGCCATAAATCAACAGTAAAAAGTCGGTGTGTACATTGCAGTACGGACCGAGATGAGGAGGTAGCCGGGTAAGAGCTATCTAGCTCAATCAAAATTTCGAAAAAAATAATTCATATAAAATTTAAAGTATCGCTATTTTTTTACTTTACCCTAGAGCGAGACTGGGAAAGAAAATTAGCAACTCGCGCCGTATCCGCACGCATTATTAATTTTCGACAATGCAATTTATTATTTTTCAAGAATTTTCAAGGATCTACCAATAAAACGGTTGGTTGACCTGAACAGAATACTGACTCTTAAGTGTGATAAGTGGCGTATTCACCGTCGAATACTGCCATTTATCTGTCTGCCTGTTTGCATACCTGTCTTTGTTTAACACGACATACAATTTAACAACCTGCGATCTTCAAACCCTTTTATTCATGGTATCTTTAAGTGAAATACATCTTACCACGACCTTCTGTAGCGACTGTTTGCCTGAATTTGATGTTCTTTCCAAGGAGAGACGGGTCCCGTTATAAATACCATCATTTTGCCAATACCAACTCTTTGTTTTACATTTTGCCTTCCTCGTTTAACAATTCCAGGATGTACCGAATGGCCTTTTTTTCCTCTTACGACGAAATGTAATCGCCCAACTTGAAAATGCGGTCTACCTATCTCTCCTCTGTTGTACTCCTTTGTTTGTTACTGATGCTGGCTTCGATGTCAAGTGCGTTCACGAACATGCTCTCGTTTTCACAGCATGGACCTCGGATTCTAATTGGTGAGTCAAATAGACTTGTAATTATTTTGACGCTTGGTTCAATTGGTATAAAAAATGTTTATTGGTGAAACATTTCCTATTTCCCATTGCAAAGTTAATTATTCACAAGTTGTACAAGAAAAAGCGCGTGGAGGAAGAAGACAACAACTCTAAAATAATTCAACTTGGCAGATGCACGTTTACCATGATTAACCTTTTTTTGACTCAGTATCAGAATCTTATTTCGGGAGGGGGGGGGAAGATTACAATGAAAAGGCTTCTACGCGTACGTTTTTGGAGCATTCTTGTGGCGATTGTGTGCGGCGGAGAAGCCTTCAGACCGGCCGCATACAAGTGGCTATACAGACTTGACCGAAACCGAAAGCCATACTTGAAAGTCTCTGGCACCCAGGGTACGTCCTCTTAGGCTAACTTGAAAAACTGGCAACTGCTGAAAATTGCTGAATATTTCTACGCTAATAATTGAATATCTATTGTTTTCTCTAACAATGAATGATTCTAGTAAAACCTGCTTCCAGCGTTGCGAGGTCCTCTTGAAGTTTCAATCGGCTCTTTTTAATGCTTTTAGATAAGTCCTACGGGGTTCCTATAAATCTGACATGTAACGAACGCGAGACTAGCAAAATTGATGTCAGCGGTATCTCGCTCTTCAAGTCAAAAAGAGCGATTATAGCAAACCAAGTCTATCCTGGAATTTATGCGCAGTCTCAAAGCGAATGCCAGCGAACATTCCATCCAGTGAACATGAACAAGCCAGCAGGATGTCAGCTGAATCTGTCAGGAAGAAAACTGTCATCGGATGTCATGATCGTTACAGTTTATCGATGCTTGACAACTTCTGACCAACAGAGTCAGCTAAAGTTAGTTCACATAAGTAAGTGTCGGGGAGTTCCGAGGGTGCAATCAAATTAGAGGGGTTTAACCCTTTAAACCCTATGATCAACATTTGAATTCTCATTTGTTGCCCCTATTCATTTCTTACGGAGGTAGTGGGGAGAAGTTGATAAAATATCAAGCAAATTCATCTTGTGTGATCATGTCCGTAATTCTCATGGCCATTCTGTTTTCAAAGCATTGATGTTACAAGGAGAAATTTGATGCTGATCACTCTTAGGGCTTAAAGGGTTAAGAATCGACGACGGCGACAACAGCGAAAATGTTACTTCTAAAATGAATTCGCGGTTTTTTTTTTTCAAACTTTGTCGTATTTATTCCAGCAATTCACTGAATATATTTAAAGTAGGCGAATTTCACCGGAGTTGATTTCTTGGGGACCGCACTCGAGTTTTGAAAGAGAGAAACTTTCTTCGTCGCTAGTTTGTTTCCGTCCTCCATTCCATAAAACATGAAATTAGGCAGTCTCACGTCGTAGTCGTGCAGTAACGTCATTGAAAGAAATGTGCAAAAACATGTGTGCTGCACGTGCAAAGTTGTGCTTTGACGTTCACGTTGCCGTCGCGGTCGTCGTTGCTAAAACTTCCTATTGTATACTGATGGCAGGATGAAGCTGTACTGGTAATCGATCACTCCCATGTGACCAGAAATTAAGCAAATGCCAGTGTATATCATCCTGCAGTCTTCTTCTTGCACCCATTCCCTTTTGACTATACTTATAGGAATGTCAAATAGGGTCAACACAAGACCTATTCGACTTTGGCTACCCATCCTTAACAAATCTCACCACTACAAGATCCCATTTGATTTCTTCCTTTTTAAAGCCAGGTAACTGAATTCGAATTTGCTCGACAAGCACACAACGAGATGGAATTATCTCAGTTACACCATTTACTCTTTTTCTCTCCCGCCATTCCATCCCTAGCATTTTATGGGCAACTCTCCTCTCCAAGCTTCACGAGATTCTGGGAAACAAGTTTTTCTAGTTTTTATAAATGGAAACGCGTAGAAAGAGAACTTCTTGGTTTGCGACCACGTGACGAAGCCGCTATGTTGGGGGCCAATAATAGAAAAAATCGAAAATAAGGTGTTTAGTACCCAGCGGAGAAAAATGCTCTTGTTTTGACAACCTTCATAGCCGCCGTGACGTCACCTGCAAACCAGCAATTCATAAATGCGGGATAAAGTCTTTGTCAAAGTGGAAAGCTACTAAAACCCACATTGTAGAAAGTAAAACAAGTCAATTGGCGGACCAAATTATCCCAATACGTCTATAAAAATATAACGTACTTCCGCATGGACTGATTATTAGGCCCCGTTTATACAGTGGAACCTCGATATAACCAACCTTTATATGCGTTTATATGAGGAAAAAAGTTGACCATTTGCCCGAGCTAAGAGCTGACAACAGCGTTCAGAGCATTCGCGCATGAAGATTGTCTCGCTTTGACCGAGTTGACCAAACTGAGCGTGCCAAAGTGTTAATTATAAGGAGAAAACTTAGTCCGGCTAGGAAGGTGACCCTACCATCACAAAAAGGCGGGTGATCACTGTTCTAGTTGAGCCAACTTTTTGTTTCTCATGTAAACGGCAAAATTTTGTTAGAAAATGGCTCCTAAAAACTTTACTATTTTGAGCTCATAAGTAGTAGTTCAGTTGTGATATTTGATTTTGATCTTACAGGAGCCGCTGATACAGGTGACTTAACATTAGCCTGCCAGTTTGGTTTTATGATGGATGTTCTAGACATCAGGTTAAACGGTACTGAATTAAATGATGGGGAAGCGGAAGCAATCAAACAGCAGTGCGCCATGAAAACAGTTCAAGGAGCAGTTGTGCCAACAAAACGAAACCAAGACCCCAAAATACCCGTAGTTTGCACTGTCGCGAGGCAAGGTAGAATTGGAAATCTCAAGGCTACGTACCAATGCTTGCGTGCACCACAAAAAGCTTTCCGCGATCATGAAAGAACAAACGACTCACGCAAAGGACCAATGGGATCGAAGAAGAGACAAGGACTCAATAAAAGTATTTCACCGGGATTAAGTTCCCGAGAAGTTAAACCAACATCGATTAAGGGATCGGAAACAGAATTCATAAATAATTCGTAGATGCGATTAAGAAGGTTCTTATCTCGTTTTACAGTCATATCGCCTTTGTTCCTATCCTCCCTTTCATCAAAACGGAAATTCATTTCTTTCTTTCTTTTTTTCATTTTCCTTACTCTTGTTAGTTCTCTCTTTTTATTTTCTCTACTGATATGGGCATAGTTAGTAGAGGAGAGTGGTTATCAATGGCGCCAAATATCAAAGTTAACAATAACAGTGCTGCAGTTTAAATTGGGGGCTATCGGAGGGTGCACAATTCATTGTTTTCTGTTCACAAATTGCGACGGAATAAATTTATGTGACATTTTAATTGGTAAGTAACATTAAAATCATAGGAATGCTATTGAACGTTGCGCACCTTCAAGTCCACAAAAACATATAACAAATTAAAGTATTTCTGAGAGGCTTCAAACCCTAATTATTTTAACCGTTCCACTCACTCTATTAACTATGGTTTGGGGTAGTTCTATTTGCTTATATCTCTGAGGTGGTTTCACGAAATAAGAAGCTATCGCTGATTTGTTAGTTGGTTTAATTTCTCAGTCAAAAAAGCCAATACATATAACAACAAATGTGACGAAATTAAAATGCAACACATGTCGCAGAAAATAAGCCAATATACATGATCAAGATAGAATGTCTAAGTATGCCTATTTATTGTAAAGCTGAATCTTGACGAAATCTAGGTTTTAACATTTAACAGCAAAACATAGCCATTATGCGTGATCAAGAAAGAACTCTTATCGTGCCTATTGCAAAAAGGAATTTCAAAAAACTATCTGACATTAAGAAGTTTGATGATGACGTAACCAGAACCAGCATTGGCTCCAGCCTGGTTAGACTGCTCCTGGCCATTGTTGAACGATCCGCCTCCACCCCCACAGGAGTTCGATCGGCTGCCACTAGCCCCTCCGGAATAACCACCACCTCCTCCGCCGCCCCCTCCAGCTCCGTTAGGACCGCCACCACCTCCAAATCCACCTTCTACGTCATTCTGGTTCGAACGACCTCCGACACCGCCTGAAAAGTAATTCACCAAGGATTTAGGAAATTGATTGAAAAACTGGGTAACTAACGCTATGTTCACTACAGCCGATGGCTTTTCGTGCTGGCACGAAAAGTTATTCGGTATACGATGAACAAAGGCGGCACAGAACTGGAACAAGTTGTTCACACATCGAATATCGTGCCGGAGCAGTTGGCCGGGAGGAGTTGGTTAACTCAATCCCAGTCCTCACTCCTGAATATTTACTTCCGTCCAAGTGGATTCCAGTCCTCGCTCCTACTTATTCACTTCCGTCCAAATACCTGTTGACACTGCACCAAAGTATGCAAAGAACCTATCCGATAAGTGACGCTCCACTCTTAAAATTGGCGCTTGGCAGCTTCGCTCCGTTACAGAAATCGCGCCAAAAACACCGTTCTTATGTGTGAAAAGAAGCCCTATCCGCAATGGTTTTTGCGCCGGCGCAAGGGCTATTCGGTGAAGTGCGAAGATAGCCTAAAGAGCGGAACACAGACGGAATGGTAATAATTGTAATTGGCTGCCGACTGAGAACCCAGAAATGTTTATTTGACCTATGGTTAAGGGACGTTTTCCTGTCCTGCCCTTTCTGTGACTCTAACGCGTCTCAGCCCCTCTCGCGCACACAATTAGCCGTGTCGACTGATTACAAGCACCTTTTCAGCATGCCCGACGCCGATTACACCATGGATTTGTTGCTTCTGAAAATACTCACTATGTAAGATATTTAAGGATGTTAACAAAAAGGAGGGGCGCTCAGCAAAGGAATTATTTTCCGATGTTGTATCAGAGAGTCTGAACTATTCGCCTTAACTCTCCCACTATTTTCTTGAATTTTAGCTCAAAGCCCTCTCTAAGGAGAGTAGAAGAAGTAATATTAACCTTTCATAAAGTAATCAAGTTACCTTTATAAAATGATTTGCCCCCTTCTCCTCCAGTGCCTTTCGCGCCACCAAAATTTAGATTTGAACGTCCATTAGTCTCAAATCCACCACCCCCTCCTCCTGAGTAGTTATTATCGCCTTCCTCAGCTCCTCTGCCTCCCGACCCACCCTGAAACTGGGACCCTCCATACCCTCCGTTTCCATTGTTGCTTGAGGATCCGTGGCATCGTGGACTATCGCCCTTCATTTTATCAACACCGCCACCTCCACCACCTGCAATAGAACGAAACAGTTAACGTTCTATCTCACCTGCAAACTACAATCTTGGACGAAATAAGTGGAAAACTAGACCCCTTCCCCACATCAAAGATAGAAGGATGGCGTATTTTTCTTAGGTTATTTCGGGCAGCCAGCGCCCCTATCATCGTCTGTACTATTGTTATCAATTTTTATTTCTTGTATATCATGGGGTGAAATAAAGTGTTGTTGTTTGGCCTCCGCGCAGCTTCACCCTTGATTTTGACGGATGGGGGGGGGGGGGGGTTGCTGTTCCATTTTATCCTGTCCAAGATTGTAGTCCGATATCCGAGGAACATCGTTTGCGTAAGTCGAGTCCATTTTTTGAAATAACTTGGAGAGGTTGGACCCCCTGCCCCTGTTTTCAAGTTGATTTTTCTTTCGATAGTTTATAGATATTATAGAAATAGAGAAATGCTCCATAAAGAAGCACCAAGACTTCAATTCAGATTTCTTGATTTCTAGTCTCGCTCGCAGCCGTTTTTGTCTCGTCACGTAACGCTCCAGGGGAGGTGCGTTGCGTGACGAGACAAAAACGGCTGCGAGGGAGACTTCACCAGTTCAGGATAAAATAACAATGATGAAAAAGAAAACAACAACAACAAAAGAAATTTAAATCTTATTGGCGAAAGGTTTGAACCCCAGTCATTTCACAAAAGCACGTTGTTGACAGTGACTGTCGTTTCGACATCCTCTGCGTTAGTCATCATTCAGAGTCAAAGTTAGAAACCTCCCCCCACCCCACACCCCTAAGGTTTTATGGCGTGGAGACGGCTGACATTTTAGACTAAGTTAAAGTGAGTTGTATCACTTCAGCTGATAATAAATTAGATCTTTTTAAGCGAAATAAAAATCACTGTAAAGTACTCACCAATCAACAGGGGGGTGTTGTCATCTGTAACAACGAATGTTCCACCCCCTCCCCCTGCTCCACCTGACGCAGTGTTCACCCCTCCTTCCTGACCAACAAGAATCTTTAGGACATCCCCTCTCTTGAGATGGAAGTTGCCCTTCACACGAGCACCTTTGCCCCGTTTGCTTGCTAAAAATAAAGACATTATGGAATTACCAGAGTATTTTACATATCACTTGCTACGTTCACATAAGTAACGCCTGAGCTACGACATGGCTTCTACAACTGTCAATATCTTCAAATGTTGTCTCAAAATTGTCAAGTTTGTCGATTTGTAATTCATTGTAACTTAATCTTTTTCATCCTAAACCTTCCTTAATAATCAAAAGATTATGGTTACCTTTCAGCGTTCTTCTATTTAAAATCAAACGAAGTTCCATTTTATTTCAAGATAATTAAAATACCGAGAGTTCCTTTAAGAGAAATTTCACTGTCGACATAGGCTCCTATCTTTCCTAAACGTTGGTTGTTCGTTATCCTTAGTACAAATACAGAAGTCTACCATCGCATGTATCACTTTTTGTGATAAATATCTTTACTTACAGGACGTGAATTTGTCATATCCGCCTGCCGCCCCTGATGCCTCGATTGTGTACGTTCCAGTGGCAGGGACCTTCCACATTTGAACTCCCTTGTGCACTGTAACTTGTCCCTCATGATCCTGCCCCTGATAATGCATCCCTACTGAAGAAGGTCCCATGCGTCCTGTGGCACCCAGTGTGGTAAACTTCGCCATATTAAAAACTAGAGGGAAAAAGTCACATCCAAATTAAGGTGACCTTACCTCAAAAGCTAATTTTGCCAAAAAGCCTACCGTAAAATTCCGAAAATAAGCCCCTCTATGTATAAGCCCCTCCAAATACAAGCCCCCCAAACCGGTAACGCAAAAAACTCCCCGTTAAATCGCCCCTCCAAATATAAGCCCCCTGGGGGCTTGTGCTTGGAAAATTGCCCTCAAATACAAAGTAAAACAAAGCAAAAACGGTAAATTTCCTTCCAACTATAAGGCTAGCCCAATCGATTTTGAAAGCAAATTTCCTCCGTAGATAAGCCCCTCCGAATATAAGCCCCTCAAAAAGGGCCTTTGAAAAATATAACCCCCGGGGCTTATTTTCGGAATTTTACGGTTGTTTGTTTGTTTTCTCACATCATTTCAAGTACATTTGTTTAGAAATTCCTCTTTGTGAAACGTTTAATCATTTAGGCTAACAATATAGAGTCGAACGAAAACTGACCCAAATTGGAATTAAACATCACTTTTTTTTGTTGATTTGTTTCTTTTTTAAAAATTTCGCCGCAATTCTTTTTAAAAAGGGATACCTAGAATATCCCTGCAGGATTGAGGACGCAATTAAAATGATATTTCAAAGTTACTGATTTATCCTTTTTTTTGATTTTATGGTGGATGCTGATTATGCAAGAACAATTCATTGAGCTTGTCGATTATGGGAAAATAATAGAGACCTTAAAGCCTGGTTCTCATATGCCACCAATGCACCTGCGACATGGCCGCCGGTACTGCCTGGGATACAGTTCCAATATGAGAACAGAAGTGGCCGGCAACATTGCTCATCCCAGTCTTGATACACCCCGGAAAGCTTCATTGTACGTTTTTGATCAGAAAAGTTAGGACGTTTATCTTTATTGAAAGAGGCTATAACATGGCCCTCTCCCTATCACAGAAAAGATAAAACTTCTGAAATTTGATAAAACTTCTTTCCGCCATTACATTTTCATTTTCGACTTTTTCCCGCCAAATGACCCTGATTCAGCCGCGCACCACTTTTGAGAAAGTAGTGTGAATATGTTGTTCTCGTAGTCGTCCTCGTCTTAGAATCTAAAGGTCTTTATAGAGGAGCACCATGGGTAAGAAAATGTGGTAATCTACACATCCAAGAAATTTTGGTAATCACTTGACCGTACGTCCACCTGTCCGTCAAAACCACATGCATACCGATGTAAAATAACTCAATCAACAGGTATGGCAACCTAAATGCAACTCAAGGTTCTATTTGGAAGGAAATCGCATGGCCGCCCACAGGCGCCCAAGCTGGGTGAATAAATTACCACGAGTTTCGATATTGTTTTGCATATTAAGAACGATTTAAAGACTTTGCATGAGAGTTCAATATCGTCGTTAAAACGTAGAAATATAGGCATGAATATAGAAATAAATTGTACTTACGTGAACTTGGGTCTGTTGTTGTTTTTTTCTGTGTAACCTGGGCTCAATTCATGGCCATTTTATACGGTTTTGCGGCCCGTTGTTTGTGTAACCTGTTGCGTGGTGAACGCTAACATCTTAAATACGCTAATCCAATTGGATAATTCCAAACACCGCTCACGCGCAATCAGTAGACTATCTGAGGGTAGGAAGATCCATGTTTTGTCATGCAGTATTGACTACACGGTTCCCCTGAGTCCATATTCGCGTTCACCACGCAACACGTAGTCATGGAGTTTCCTGAGTGCACGTCAGATTGCCCAGAACCAATCTCCCACATCGCTATACCCATGACTAGGGGAAGAGATAAGAGACCGACCATGCCTAAAGGATTTTGCGCTCTCATAGTGAATCAGTGCGCGGTTCTTTGATGAGGGAGATGTTTGTGAGTTGCGACTGCACACAGTCTCCTGCCTTGCTTCGCTTTATGTCGGAAAATAACACCGAACAAACAACGAGCTACAAAACCGTATAAAATGGCCATGAATTGAGGTCAGGTTACACAGAAAAAGCAACAACAGACCCAAGTTCACGTAAGTTCAGTTTATTTCTACATTCATGACTATATTTCTACGTTTTAACAGCTATATTTAATTTCTCGTGCAAAGTCTTTAAATCGTTCGTAATATGCAAAACGGTATCGAAACTTGCGGTAATTTATGCACCGAGCTTGGGCTGCCTGTGGGCTGCCCGGACTTTTAGACAGAAAAAACAACAACAAAGTCGTGTCTTTTTCGACGTTATTTTTTATGTTTACACTCACGTGGATAACAGAGAAAGAGCTAGAGCGAGTGATTAATTGGAAGATAAACATGAAAATTTCATAGCGGTGGTGAGAAAAAGAGAAATGATAGCGGCCAGCAAGGTGAAAATGAGCGGCAGTGACAAAATACAAGTGAACATGAACACAGGAAACAAAACCTTTGGTAAGCATATACGACAATTCCTCCATAAAAATAAAAAGCGCATTGTAGTCGTTCAAAACAACGGCAAAGAAAGACAAAAAAGCCACGTGCAAATTGTTTTGCTAATTAGAAAAATTAAAAGTGTGCTGCACGTGCAAATTTGTCTTGTTTTGGTTTTTTGTTTTTTTTTGCTGGTTAGATCTATTGATCTTGATGCCATTTTCATTGCCGTACCCGTTTAGCATTACACGATTTAATTTTTGTTGTTGTTTATAATTATTATTAACCAGAGCTTCGCTTTTAGCACTGGCTAAATCTACATATTATGCTCAACGAATAACATTACATCGCAAGTAAAGCTTACCACTGTAGCGCTTATTGACGTTGTGGTCAGGATTATAAACGACCCATTGTGTGACAAAGTTTCTGAAGTATTTCTCGCACGATGCCTCGACATACATCAAAGCAGGAAGGCGGTCTGGCTTATCCTCCTCTGTGGAGATATGGACAGATCCGATAAACACTGGGTAAGGAAATTCGTATCCAATCCACTGCATGCCGGGAAGAGATGCTCCATTTGAGATCCAGATACTTTCCGGGTTGTTATCAAATGCCATGCTGGGTGGATAACCTACGTTGCAAAAAATAAGGAAGGGTGACATTTAACAAAAATTAGCCCTCAAATTTCACGTAAAAAGTACCAGGCAAATGGCCTGAGGTGTCACGATGTAATTTTCGTATTTATCACGTACATCTATTGGTCAAAACTAAATCTTTTTTCTTTTTTTATTTGTTTGACTGACTTTGAGTTTATATATGGATTGCCGTCCTTAAGGTGATGTTACACGGGACGATTCACAACGACGATTTTTAGCGCAACACAGCGTTGCAATGTTAGAACAATGTTGTAACCATTCGAAACAATGTTGCAACGCTGTGTTGCGCTAAAAATGGTTCAATACACTCTCAGTTTTTATATCGTGTTGGCTACGATATAAACGGTACAGTTTTTTGGCCGAAAAAAAATGCTTTACGGAAGTGGTCTATTTGCTAATAATAACTTCAAGGCTAATATGACGGAATGATCAAAGAAAAAAAATTGAATCATGCAAGTAGAAAAATGAGAACAAACATGGAAATCTTTGTCACTCAGTTAAATTTTCAAGTGCATGTTTGAACGCCTGTCGGGCAATTTTTAGTGAGATTTATTGCTACAAAATTTTGAATCAATTTTACCCTAATTTGTTCCCTGCTAGCAGAGGTCTCTCACGACGAGGCATTTCTCATTTTTGCCTCGTCGTGAGAGACCTCTGCTAGCAGGGAACCTAATTTGTATCCAAGTATTGTAACCGCTGCGCACTTATTATAACCGGTAATTAATTAGAAAATCACTGTAAATCGCTTTTAAATGTCGTAGTAAAAATTACAGGGTCTTTAAAACAGGAAAATCGCGAGAAGTTAATCCTGGCCAATTAACCAATCGGTGGAAAAGTAATACGTTCAGCAGATTTTGGAGGCTCCACTGAATGGTTGATTTTAAAACGCGAAACTTTTAATTTGTTGAGCTAAATAGAGAGCGTCAAAAGGCAACACGCCAAGCATTCGCAATAGACAACCTCTATCATAATGGCACTTTATTTAAACAGGAAATACTTTCATCAGTAAGTACACAGGGACACCGATCGTCAATAGACCATTTTACAGTGGTGGGCGTAGTATCCTATCCTTTGAGTGAACGTGAGGCTGAGGTTGACGTTGCTTCGATACAAACCTCTTTCTTTTTCTTATGGAAATTTTGCTGAAGAAATAATAGTTAGCATAACAACAACATGATTTACATAATAAAGCAGGAGGGGTTGTATTAAACCAAGTCAACTCCAGCCTCGTGTGCACTTGTAACTGTAAAATGGTCACCTAGAATTTTCAGGAGCCTTTTTTCGGGCTGAAGTTTTCGAAAAGGTAAGTTTTGATCCCTATAATTTTCGGATCACTAGACTTTCAGTTAGGAAATCCGAACAGTTAAAAAAAATTTAGGTGATAAAAATATGCCTGTATCTACTGTTTAAATACTAAAATACCTTCAGCAATGCTGTGTTTAAGTGGTTTTCAACTGAATTCTCTTTGGTTGCCCCTGAGTACACAGTTAAGTGACTAGAATACAAGTAGACTACGACTAGTCTCCCATTTTTCCTCAGGGATAGTAGAGCGAGCGAAAAGCGAGCGCACGTGAAAATCACTCCACGCGAGACAAGGCGACACGCCGCGTGTCGCCTTTTCTCGCGTGGGGTGATTTTCACGCGCACTCGCGTTTTGCTTGCTCTACTATCCCTGAGGAAAAATGGGGGACTACTCGTAGTCTAAAATACAAGCTGATCAAATCATGACTCACCAGGTCCAAAGTAGCTGCTAGCGTAGCCCCGCTTCGGATCAACGTTGAGAGGCTTGTTGGAGGTTGCAGTATCGTAAAATTTGATACCTGAAATGACCCACAAGAACGGAACATCCACGGCATTGCGGATTCTCCAATACGGATAACTGCCATTTGTATAAGGACACTTATCTGGGCAGAAACCGGTGTCGGAATCACACTCGTGTTTACCTGTTAGTTACAGAGAAATATAAAGCGATGTCAACCATCGTTTTTATTCTTCTGTTGTGACTAATTAATAATAGGATAAATATTGGATAAGACCATTTTCCCGAGCAAAAACCTATAGTATTAGTTGGAGTGCATGCTATAATTATCTGTAACTTAAAAAATTCAAGTTCCCAACTAATCAAAGTTCAAAATGTTATAAAGGCAGTTTTTATTCTCAAGATACCACCGTAAGCACCATTTTCGACGTTATTGACTATAAAACACATTTTCATTCTCAAGAAAACTGGAGCTAACTAGCAAGACATAAAAGATCAATTAATTTACTTTAATGAAGACATCTGAGCTTCTTATAGTAAATCATTGCCAGTTACTTGAAGAAACAGGGCCCGGAAAGATAAACGATTTCCGAAAAACTAATAAAAATTGGAAAAGGTAAAAAAGATACCAATGTCCTGATTGCGACAGAATTCTTTCGGATTAAAATGTCATCCAAAGTTTTCATCGTTGGAAAATTTGCTAATCCGAAGATTTCCATTCTAATCAAAAACAACTATTTTTCTCCGATCTCTGTCGGTTTTTGCGTGATTATCTTCGCTTTTTCTGCGTGGCTTTACGCGGTCATCTCGCAAGACCTGTTGAAATCGATAATTCAAACGCACAGTTTCACCTTTTGTTTACAGTGGTACGTAACAGGTGAAAATGACGTGGAATCCAGAAGAAGTTTGTGTCGCAAAGCTTCTTCAAGACATAAAACTAAGCTTTGCTAAGAAGTTTGCGCAGATCATATTTCCCAAAAAAATATCGTAACGAGTAACTTAAACATTGCAAATAAATATCTTTTTTCTTTTTTGCGAACTCCAATATAAGGTTCATTTGCAAGTCAGCGCTATGACTGTGACCAGCGGCTAAGACCTGATTGACGAATAAAATCCAAATGGAACATAAAAAAAAAAATCAAAACTGCGGACTATACTTACCTTCAGCGTACTGCTTGCAGATTGCCACTCGTTTGTCTCTGTATTTTTTATCTGTGTGCCATTCCCAACTCGCGCAGTAACCCGGTTTGAAAGGTCTATTCCACGGCGGTATCACAAGATGCGAGTAAATTTGAGGGTTCTTTTCAAAACCAAATTGGCTTCCTTTGTGGAAGCGAACAGTTCCATCGTTACTAGAACCGCCTAGCCAGAACGCACCAGAAAAACCTAAACTGGAAATTAAAATAAACGCTAACACGAGACGTGAGTCCATCTCAGCTGAACAGAGTCGGCGAACTGCAGAGTTTCAACGTCGTCAATGTTTTTGCACCAAGATTCAGTGCCACGCTGGACGAGACCAAATTTAACGTTGATAGGCTGAATTTTGCTAACGTGTAAGATTACTGCATTATTAGTTCTGAATTTTAAAGAATTTTCTTTACTTTTTGAATTTTAAAAGCGCTTTGCTGGCGCATTGCTCTCGGGACGGTTTTGTTGCCAAGGAACACCCTGAGCCGGTGTTACTAAGAGGAACTGGTCAGCGGATTTCCGCAAAGCTTTCCAAGCACGTGGCGAAATATGCTTTTAAAAGCTATGAAAATAAGAAAGCAAGTCGACTTCTAAGTGAAGTTTAGCATTAAACCTTTCACTTACAAGTTTTTCAAGTTATCAATCTACAGATGATAGGGAAGTGACTCAATCATTAAAGGATTGAAAAATTCGAAGAAAGTCGTATTTTATTATTTTTGTAAACAAAACGAAAAATTCTAAACATAAAAGCAAAAATACTGCCGAAAAGAACCATTTAAATGGAAAATCGTTGTAAAACACCATAGAATTTCACCCGCCGGCGACCCCGACTCAAAGGAACAAGGATATCACAACGTGAGAAGTTAATGTCGGCCGACATGATCTAGACCAGAAAAACTAAGTTACACTAATTGTTGAAATCTATATTATAATCTAACCGAAAGAAACCCTGCTTTTCTTGTAATTTGTAATTTCATAAGTCGAGAAAGGTAAACCGAAAAATACAACATCTCGTCGGAAGTGACAGCCGTCATAGCTGTATATCCATTATTAGAATTCTAATCTTTGCTGATGTCTTTTTTAAAATTTGTTAGTTAATAAGAAGGAATTATGATAACCGGAACAGTCGCTGTTACCGAAAGTCGAAGGTTGGCAGAGGATTGAATTGTCCACGTGTAGGCTGCATACTCCGGCTTCTGTTACTGAACGGGACCTAAATGAATTCAGTAAATAAATATCAAACTCGAAGTTAATAAGAAGGAATTATGATAACCGGAACAGTCTTTGTCACCGAAAGTCGAGGGTTGGCAGAGGATTGAATTGTCCACGTGTAGACTGTATACTTCGGCTTCTGTTACTAAACGCGGCCCAAATTAACTCAGCAAATAAATATCAAACTCGAATTTAACAGTACTAGCAAAACTGGCTCAAAAGTAATAATGCGTTTAAGTTTATTAAACGCTTAACTATCAGTTCACCTCAAGGCATTTTAGCAATTTTGTAATGCTTTGAACGATAAACATGGAAAAACCTTTGCATATCCAAACTCTTTTGACAAGTATATGCATTGTTTAAAATATGTTAATTTCACACAGCCATAGTAGAATCTTTTGTACTTAAGCGATGTCAGATGCTTAATTAAGTACCCAGGGCACTTAAGAAACTTACGTTCGTTTTCAAGACCATAGATTTTAAATAAACAGTAACCAAATGGTTCCTATATCATTCTACGGTAGTGTAATACGATCGCCGCATAAGGACTGACTAACTATAGGGAAATTTTTATAACATCTATTGCTTCTGAGCGTCAGTCACGAAAAAGCAAACTTTTAAATTAATTCTCTATGGACCATTTGAGGCTGGATTGTGACTGGATTGGCAGGGTTCTATGTAAGATTTATCGTTTGGGGATAATTTCTGAGTGGCCGAAGGCCACAAGCTTCCTATGGGGGTCTGGGGGCATACCCCCCAGAAATTTTTTGAAATAAATATGCGCCAAGATGCAATCCGGTACATTTTGAGACACAATTTTGAGAAATGTTACAGTGTGTGTACTGACTTCGTCGCGTCTGGATGATTTTTCCGATATAGACGGTTACTTGTATACTGTAGTGATAACATTTTGGCCTTTTTCTTGGGGAGAGGGGGGAAGCTTCTCCTTCTCAAATACCCTAGATAAAACCCTGATTGGTGTTGCATTGAATTGCTCCACCAGGGACTGTACAGGGTTTGAGGTGCGAATTTTGACCAAGCCTCCTATCAGCCGTGTAATGACAGAAATAGCGCTGGACTCTCTTACACACAAGCTAAGGCTATGGAGCAATTCGACACATCTCTCGACCCAATTCTTTAATTGGGCAGAAAGGGCAGTTGTAAGCTTTTTGACATAAACTTCAACATACCGAGCATAAACTGGGCACCAACTACGCTTCCGGAAACTACGCTTTCCATTTCCGGTGGACGTGGTTTCAGTTGTTATGGAAACACACTTAAACTCTTCTAGTGATCTCTAGTTGTGTGAAGCATTGCGGCGTTGTTCATCGATGCGTGTAATAACAAGTTAGCAGGTTTTAGTGGGTACCTGCCCATGTTTTTAACCATAAAGTAAACAGCTACCGTGTTGAACTGGTTGTTTATATTCGAAGATCAACAGATCAAGAGACCATTACCATGGCAACAAGAACAACATTGGCTGAGAACCGTTTTCGTTAGGCAAAACAATATTTCATGTTACGATAACAAGCTTACGCTAAGTACAGCTCAGAAAACCAATGGCTACTTACAATGGATCGAAAAATTAAAATTCGCGTACCAACTTTCTTCAAGTTGAATGTCGATTGCCTTCCAACAAATTCTGAAACCAATGACATCTTTAATTTCCATTTCCTAAACCGTCGTTATATCTAGTTTCATAAGTCCATACGGCTAACGCTCAAAGTTGTTTTCATTATGTTTTACGATGATCTTTCATTGCTGTCTCGACCTTCGTAGCAACCTGGTACCTCCTCTTAAATCAAAGTCGATGAATAGCATTGACCTCATTAGAATGCTCAGTGGGTCTGTGTTCGAGTGAGTAACCCGGGCTTAATTCCTTGGGGTAATTCAAGAGAGGAAGTTACAAGCTTGGAGGATTTCTATGACAAAATATCGATCATACTTCATAAATCTCCAGTTTAGCACAGAAGAATATGAGAATCTTTAACATATTTTGACACGTTTTCAAAGAAAGTTCTCAACTCTTAGTATGCACCGCGCGCTGATCTTTAATTAAGGGAACAACAAGATTATCACTGTTACTTTAAAGTCACAGTGAAGTGGGTACGCATATGGGAGATTTTCTTTGGGTCGACTTAAATCTTCTCACTTGACACAATTATGCTTTTAATTCTCTTAATTGCGCTTGCCTCCACAGAAAAAATCTCAGCACAAATCAAAGAAAAACCATGTAGAAATAATAGTTTGCAATCTGTCTTTAGGGCCAGAATTATGTGACAGTTAAAGGTCCACGAAAAAATGCTCAGGTTATGAACTGCATTGTCCTGTGTCATGCGCAGACGCTCAGCGTAGAAATCAAAGCGAAGTCCAGGAGGACAAAATATTGCATTTTAAGGATTTCATGAAAGTACAACAAATTGGATATCTTTTGAAAGTCGCTACACAGAGTACGAAATACGATCTTGGCCGAGCATTTTTTTCCCATTTAAGACCACAATACATCCGGAAGGACACGAAGAAATAAACCAGTTATTATGAATAAAAACAACTTTAGGGATGTGCTCTTGTGAAATAGCCGCGAAGTGATTTTAATGGTTTTTAGTCTGGTTATTTCTTCGGAGGTAACATTCCTTAGTATTGTTCGTCTGTCTGAATGAATGTAGTTGAATTCAAATTCAAAACAAGTCACATCACATGTAAAGAATGTGTTGTCAATCTTTCGCTCTCTATGCATGCTTGAATCTTACTGCATGGCTAACTTACTCAACCAAATGGAAGAGTTAACCCGAAGCATCAAACTGAAAAATTGAAGGAAGCATTTGCAGTAAATATGGTTTAAATAGGGATATGTGACTTGTTTTTCTTCCTTTTCACGCCTTTCATCCGTCTTTCTTGGGTTATTTAAGTGCAAGCGTTAAAAATCGATTAAAAAAAAAGCGCGCGAACCACCAGAGAACAAGTTAAGTTTAGCGGCACACGAAATTGGCCAATCAGAAGTCTTCTGGAACAATCACTTTTGTTCTATTGTTTCGAAGCGCTTACTGTGCGTGCCCCTAGAAGGAACCACCTGGGCAAAAAGTGATTTTTGAAATGCCAATCATTGTTTCTTAACAGCGGGAAGAAGGTAACTAAACATTCCCGGGGTATTAGTGCTAGTGCTAGTATGCCCTTGCTGGCCACTTCAACACTTTGACTGATCCACCTTTTTTGCGTTACTTAGACCCAATTAAACGTTGCGTGTAAAATCAAAGGTGGTCAGCCAAGTTGGCACTTTCGTTGAACGTGACTGATTTGCTTGCGCGTTCGTTGAAAATGCAGTGAAGCGAAGTGCTGTTTGGAATAAGTTAAACTTTGCTGAACGGAGACACAAGCCTTACGACTGTAAATTTGTAGTTTGCTTCCTTAAAAACTGTAGCTTGGTAAAACGCCAGATTGGGTTTATTGCAGGTGTAAGCACGTTGCAGAGAGGGAAAAAAGCAAGTCTGAGCAAATAAATCTATTTGAGTAAGTGGCCTGACTGAGGAAAGTAATTGCAATGTCTGCTAAGCTATATGAAAGAACATCTCCAACTTGTAGACGGTCACCTATGGCATTAGCTAACACAGATTGACATTAGAAACATAAACTTAAGGTTGCACGTACAAAGCTTGCCTACACATAGCCAGTTCGCTTCATTTGATCGCGTCCAAACTCAAGCAATTCAAAACGGACGTCACTGGGCGCGAAACTTTACGGATTTTACTCTCCATGCTCGAGAAACTTGCTTTGTTTTTGGTCACCAGCGAAGAGATTTAAGAGCGAATGCATTAAAATTAAATCGAAACTCAGGTTTCCTTTCAGGATGCTTACTCATGTGTGACTATCCATTAGCACGCCGCTAAAGGCAATGTAGTTTCACCACAACCTTAATTCTGTTTTCATGAGCGGGCAAACAAGTTATGCCGACATAGTGATCATAATCATGGATTAACAGCAGAGGAGACTGAGGAATAATACTTGTGCTCTTAACATCCCCCAGTGGTCGCTGTG